AGATAAAAAGCAACAAAGGACCGTGGCTAGTTGGCTCACTAGACAGAGCATTGGCCCACGGACTGAAGGGTCCTGGGTTTGATTCCTGTCGAGGGTATGCACCTTGGTTGCAGGCTCAATCTCCGGCCCTACTTGGGGCACATGCAGGAGGCAACCAACCGATGTGTCTCTCTCACATCGATGTCTCTCTCTGTCTCTCCTCCTCCCTTCCACTCTCTAAAAATCAATAGAAAAATATCCTTGGGTGAGGAGTAACAAATAAACAGAAAAAGGAACAAAGAGTCCAGGAAGGAGGCTGTGGGGTGATGTGGGAGCAGGTCTTAAGAGAGGGGATTAAGAAACCAAGATGGAAAGAAAAACGAGTAGGAGAAAAAGATGTGAGTACAGACTGGAGTTCCTGTCTCCAACCAGAACTGTTAAAGCCATGCCCTTTGGGAAAAACTAAATGTTACAAGTATGAAATCACAGCTTCCAGGAAATCAGCAGTGCTGGTTTTGGGGTGTAATTTTGCCTCAGGAAATCAGTAAGACTAGCACGAGGGGGAAATAAGCTGCACACGTTCCTTCGACTGTACGCTCCAAGGGCAGAGGATACATTAAGGATTTTCTTCAATGTCCAGTTCTTAAGACACTTACTAAATATTTATTGAATGAAAGTTGTCTTCTCCTACTCAGAAGCCACCAGTCTTTATATAAACCCCTTAACTGAACACACAACTTGGTAATAACATTCCTCATGCAAGCCTCCTTATGTTCGCATTGAGAAGAAAGTGAAGACCCAACCTTGGTGAGATCTCCACCCACCCAACCCCCAGTGTAGCCTCCACAAATGTAATCCTAAGAAACAAGTGAATCTCAAATTTTCCTAGAGAAAAGTTTTATGTGATTAGAGTGTCTCTCAAATTAGCTTCCCATGACTCAGCACCTCCTAGGGAGTGAGGGATGGGGGAAATGAAATTCATAGTTCACCTTTTATGAACAACACAAGAGTATAATCCTTGGGATAAGGAAACGCAACAGCTCTTTGCTTGGAAACAAATGTTCCCCAGCAATGGGATCCTAGCAGAACAGCTTAGCCCCACTGACCTGAGGAGTTCAGACCAGAGCCCAGGGCACTGGAAGTGCTGGGATTCCCAAAGAAGGGCGCCAGAGTGGAGGCAGTTGTGCAGGGAGAAGCCGCAGAAATCTATAAGTGAATCCACCCAGTTCATGTTGTAGAGCAACATTACCCAAAGCTTACCAGGGAGTGGCCGCCACAAGGTTGAGAGTGGAACAGGACTGCCAGAGGTGGCCATGCTGGGGGACATTCAAGATGCAGCTCAGAAAAGTGAAGAAACCTGCTTTAACATCTGAGGCATCCAGCCAAGATACAAGCTACTCTGGGAATTCATCGAGAAGAGGGTATCCCTTAGAAGCAAAAACTCCCCAGGTACCATTTTTGACAGGTACAGGCAAAGCCTGAAATCAAGCCTGACCAGATATGCAGAAGAGTTTGCGGACAGAGTCCCATCAAGGTGACAAGACCTTTTAAAACACATTGCGCTTACTACGGTCCATCCTAACAGCGTAAAAGCAAAGGTGTGCAAGTTCAAAGAGATCAGCCATGTAGAAAAGCTTGCTAGAACAAGAATCAATGTTTCAAAGGGAGATAATATATTCTAGAGTATCTAAAACATATCCACAATGTCAAATATGTAATACAAATTATTACACGTGCAAAGGAAGAGGAAAACTGAGACCCATCGTGAGGGAGGAAAAAACGCAACCTGAGATGGCCCCAATGCTAGGTTTAGCAAGATGAAGATGACAAAATAGCCTTAATAGTTTTGTTCTATAAGCAACAGTTGACGTCATGTCGGTTCCAGCTACCCATTGGTTTAGTTTTCCCCATGTTCCCAGAAGCAGCTTCGCTGTGCCTGCTCAGAAATTCAAGAGCTGGCCGGCATGCTCTCCCCAGAGGTCTGAGTCCCAACTCTATGGACCTTGCTGAGCTACTCTGTTAGTTGAAATCTTTTCTGAATTCCTGAGGTAACAGCACCAGGAAGGTTGTGCCCCCTTCTCAGAGGTTTATTTTTCAGCTGTGGGTGGCCCTTGCCTCCAAACCTCACAGGCACAGGTGACCGAAACCCTCAGACATCTGGATGCCTGGATCCAATCTCTGTAGGGCCTCTCCCTCAAGATTCTAAATCCCATCCACCCCAACTCTTTGTCCCCACAGCCCCGAGGGAGGTAACTGCTCCATGCAGTTTCTACCTCTGTGATAGTTTCCTTTGGAATTTTATAGTATAAAGACATATGGTCCTGGGTGGCGTGGCTCAGGGACTAAGCATTGACCTATAAATCAGGAGATCATGGTTTGATTCCTGTTAGGGTATGTGCCCAGGTTGCAGGCTCAATCCTCAGTGTCGGGCATGCTGATCAATGATTCTCTCTCATCATTGATGTTTCTATCTTTCTCCCTCTCCCTTCCTCTCTGAAATCAATTAAAATATATTAAACAATTATATAAATTACTAGTGGCCCAGTGCATAGGGGTTGGGGATGTGTGTTCCTCAGCCCAGCCTGCACCCTCTCCAATTTGGGACCCCTTGAAGGATGTCCTACTGCCCGTTTACAGGGATTGGGCCTAAACTAGCAGTCAGACATCCCTCTCACTTGCCTGCCTGATTGCCCCTAACCACTCTGCCTGCCAGCCTGCTCTCTCCAACTGTTTCCTCTGCTGGCCTACTCATCACCACCTACCCTCCCCACTGGCCTGCTCATCCCCAACAGCTCCCCTGTTGGCCTGCTCACTCCAAACTGCCCCCCCCTGCTGTCCTGATCACCTCCAATTGACCCCCACTGCTGGCCTGCTCACCCCAACTGGCCCCTCTACTGGCCTTCTTACCCCAAAGGCCTCCGCCTTTCACCAGCCTGATCACCCACAACTGCCATACCATCCTGGACTAATCACACCCCAGCAACCCAAGCTCCCAGCTCCTTTTTTTCTTTTTTCAGCATCTCCTTGAGCAGAGGCCAGGGCCGGCTGGAAGCAGGTATCTGGGATTTATTTATCTTCTATAATTGAAACTTTATAGCCTTGAGAGGAGGCCAGGCCAGCCAAGATGGGCAGGAAGCTTGGCTTCCTCCATCGTTGGGGCAACCCAAGCCTCCTACTTGCTCCAGCTCTGAGGCTGCTGCCATCTTGGTTGGATTAATTTGCATATTCACTCCTGATTAGCTGGTGGGTGTGGATTGTGGACATAGCAGAGGTAAGGTTAATTTGCATGTTTCTTTTATTAGTGTAGATACCAGTTCTTTTAATATTAGATATGCTACATTACCCTATTTAATTTTCCTTTTGTCTGATACTTACCTCTTCAGGTATTTTTAGTAAGGGCTTAGTGATAAATGTGTATTAATGTTTATGAAATAAAAAAATCTACAATAATTGTCCATCATCCTTATGTTTGTTTCACTTTATCTTATGAAGATATTGAGAAATGGAAAACTCCCATATCCCTCATGATTTGGGGAGAATTTCCTTACCTATAAAATACAACTCTCAGAGTTATAATAGATATCTAACAAAGCATTTCTGTGAAACACTTGGTAATCTATGTAAATTTGTTTTTACTACTGTGACCAACTGTGACTAGACAGTAGAAGGAAAAGCTAATGAAATAAGAGAGGTGAAAAGAAGAGAAACAATTGAAGAAAGTATTCTAGAGTGGTTTCTACCGACTCAATAATACACTGAAAATCAGTTTTAAAAATATGAGTGAGCCTCTGTTTTTCTCATTCCATTCAACCTTGACCCCGCCTTCACACCAAAGAATCATTTTGCCAGTGATGCAGAAACCATTTATTAATATACAGCAAATACTGTTTATTGCAGACTTTCCAGCTGACGCATGTGAAAAAGGCACTATGAAAATTAATGAATCTAAATAATCTCTCTAAATGGATTTATGTTAAAATATACAACATTCTTACATACATCTGTTTTATATATGTGAAATAATATAACATTTAATGACAAAAATTGTGTTTCCAAAAATAACATTTGTTGAAGGTTAAGTATCTTTCTTTTCTATATCTAGAATCTTTCACAGGATTAACATATGTGTAAATTAAGTGTTTCTTATAACCAGAAAAACTTGACACAGATAAACACATAAAATGGCCCCAATTTCCTTTTAACAACTAATATGAATATTCAGAACTGAGACCTTCATTAAGCAAAATACTGTAACTCACACCAATGCAGGCTACTTTTTGGGACATAGTTTGAATATATATGACCTCTTTTCCACTTGTGCTTTCTTATATATAAGAACACAGAACAGATAATAAGCAGAATAGAAGCTAAATCAATATCCAAGCTATACAAAGAATTGTAAGTAACAGAGCCATGACGAAGAGAATGTCTCGGGAATGCTCCATAGTTTTATTTTTGCACGTCCAAAGCCTTGTTGTATTTTTACAGTTCATTAAATGTTTGATCTTTTAAAAAGTGTTGGCATAGAGAACTTTAAGTAAATCAAAATATCCTATCGAGTATGTCAAACAAGAGACCCAAGTAAGCAGAAGCTAAAGTAACTCCGCCCTAAATGACAGACACCATAGTCACAGGCAAATCCGGAATGGTTAGATTTCAAATCATGGACAATGCCTTCCTTTTGCTGCAATTCGTAAATTCACCACCATCAAAAATGCCTGCCTATACACTGAGATGAGGATGAAATAATCCAATAAAAAAAAAAAAAAAACAACCTCATCTTGGTTAAGAAAATATTTCCCAAGGGCAAAAAATTCAATGAGAATTTTTTCAGTTTTAATAAAAATAACGGGCCAGAAGCAAGTCCTCTACTTACTTATGTTTGCATTGTTATTTTTATGGCGATAAATAGTGTACCAGGAGATAAAACTCCGACATTCCCTTCATGGCTTCTTAAAACAAAGCACATTGGAATAATGCCAAAAATGTAAATGGAGTTTAAAAACAAAAACAAAAAAAAATTAGTGACTGCTTCCTTCATCAAAAGATTCCACTCCTGAATCACTAGCCGCAGCACTGATTTTTTCCTGTCGTCTTCGCATGATTTCTTGCAATTCAGAACTGCCGCTGCTATCCTGGAAAGAAACAAGGTTCAGACAAGACAGTTACTACTTTGTGAAGGTCCCAGCATCAACCAGCTCAGGGTAAAAGTCCTTTGTGTTTTTCTTCTAATCCCTGTTAGAGGAAAAGCTCAAGGCTGCCCTTCATGTAAGTGATGCTTCTGAGTGTCACTAACATATCACATTAACATATGTTTTTATTTATATAGTATCTTGAGGCATTCACTCAGCATGACTTTCATTTGAACATGATGAGGATACATCAATAATACATGTGGACAGTCCTGGTCCATATGGTTCAGTGTTAAAGCATCACCCTGACAGATTTGGGGTTTAATTCCTGGTCAAGGGCATGTTCCTGGATTGCAGGTTTGAACCCCAGCCCCGGCCAGGGTGAATGTAGGAGGATACCAATCTCTCACATCAATGTTCTTCTCTCTCTCTCTCTCTCTCTCTCTCTCTCTCTCTCTCTCTCTCTCTCTCTCTCTCTCTCCCCTCCCTCCCTTCCACTCTTTCTGAAAATCAATGGAGGAAAAAAAAAAAAAATCTGTGCGTGAGGATTAAAGACAAATAATAATACATGTTGGCAGCTCTAGATCCCCTGGGAGAAAGAAGCTATGTGTACAATGAGCATGATAGGATGAAAAATTAACAAAGAACTCTGTTAGCTCTAGAAGATAACTTATACCCCTTTAGAGAATTCTAACTCAGGCCCAAAGACTGTCTCACTGTCTCAGAACACACCATGTTTCCCTCCACATGGTGCTGACCTTCTGACGTCAGCTTGGCTTTTCTCATTTCCAGGTAAGTAATCTAATAAAAGAACTAGATGCAGGAGAAAGGCATGGTGGGAAGGCGTTAAGAAAGACAAAGAATCTCAGATAGTCAGTCTCTGTCTCAATTCACAGACAGAGAAACAGGAGTGAGATCAGGAGGATGTGGGCAGTCAGGGCAAATGACAATGACAGGGAGTCTGGACAAAAGGAATACAGCACTTTTATCATACCCTGAGGAAGTATTTATACACTTTCGATAAAATTAGAATGTATTATAATGCTAACAAAGCTGCCTCGGAAAAGATATAATTCCCTATTCATATTCCATATGCAGGAAGCCTGATACATACAGATCGATGTAGAAAAATTTCCAAGGGAAGTAGAATTTTCCTGAAGGAGACTAGTTACAGGGTTGTATGCATGAAGCTATTTCACTCTTGAGTTGAGTACTGAATTTACATAATATACCTGCTGGAGATAATCATGTAGCAATTTCACGCCAAAGCCTATATCCTTTCATTTGAGTCCAAGTAGGAAGTTCATGGAAGCTATTAAGAACTGTGAGTTGTAAAGTTGGAAACTACCCCTACAAGGCTCATTTTTAAGTATAGAATAGTGGAAGCTTACGAACATACAACCTAGAAAATATCTACTCTGCTTCTCCACAGACAACTAGGACCAAATAACTACTCTGAGGGCTCCCTATGCTCATATGTTCATGATGCCTCACTGGTACTTTCCCTTTGACTGTTTAGATGGATTACGAGGCCAGAGACATGCAGCCATGGTTTTAAGAACTTGTAATCTCTAACCTACTATAGTCTCCAAACTAAATATTAAGAACAAGCAGAGAATTCTGGCCGCTTAAGGCATTTACTCACTCCAAAGTAAATGTCCATTACTGTGTCAAAATGGAAATTCTTACAGAAATAGCTAATGCATATAAAGTGAGAACATTACGTTTTCATTAACTGTCCAAAAGTATATGCCCAAGCTTCCTGTTACACGAGCATTTATAGCAAATTAATCTCTCTGCAAATGGTCACTGATGGTCCCCGGAGACCAATTACAAACGCTGAGTCAAACTTAATGCAGCTCTGCTCGGAAGGGAAGCTGACCAACATGGACATAAACAGATGAGACCAGAGCTTTCAATTAGAGTCCACACTCCTGACAAATGCCCACCTCCACTTCAGGTTGACAAGTCCTACCTCTAATGCGGCTTTCTGTACGGTGATTTGGTTAAAGACTCTGGCTCCTTCCGGGCAGACTGTCTTCAGTTCATCTTTATTGAGAGAGAAGAGTTGTGCACCATTTAATACTCCAAGGCTATTGACAGTCCTAAAGAAAAAAAAAAAAAAAAAAAAGACACAAAGAAATAGAGGATTAGAAATATTGTCTGTTAAAAAGAAAAGAGAACATTTCTGGTCCTGCTATAACCTCTTTTCTAAGAGTTCCATACACTGGAACTCATCAAATGGTACTACCTTGCTTAGTCCAGTTAAGGACAGGGACACGTGTGATATGACCCTGAGGCGATATCACAGGGGTGGGGAACCTTTTTCCTGCCAAGGGCCATTTAGATATTTATAACATCACTAGTGGCCCAATGCATGAAATTCGTGCAAGAGTAGGCCTTCGCAATCACAGCGGCTGCCTCGATCCTGCAGCTCCGGCTTCGTCCGGAAGGTCGTTGGCTGTCTAGTCTAATTAGTATATTACACTTTTATTATTACAGATTCTGGAGCCATACAAATTTATAAACTTAAAAAGTAGCCTGCTATATTTGGTCAGACATTTAATAAACTCACCCCTAATGCCTGGCAGAGCCAGACCAAATGATTTCATCAGCCTTCTGTGGCCCACAGGCAAGACGTTCCCACCCCTGCTATATGAGTATGAAGTATCAGAAAGGAGCCAAATGATATGGTATCATTATTGTTAAGGACCAATTGCTTGAAATTTTATGTTTCGCAGGAAGAAGAGAGAACTTTCTAGTAAAAGGTAACGGACTAACCAGTGAATCTCACGTTTAAGTCATGCTGGGCAAGTGAGTTTATAATACTCAAGTTTCCTTAAATATGTATTAGTTCAATAGTTGATTGTGTCAAAACCCATAAGCTGAAAGAGTTCATTACCACCAAACAAGTATTACAAGAAATGTTAAAGGGCTCTTCTTAAGTAATAATAAGAAAAAGGGTTTAAAAATATGAATAATAAACAGCCACAAAAAAGAATGGAATCTTACCATTTGCAACACCATGGATGGACCTACAAGGTATTATGTCAGAGAAAGACAAATACCACATGATTTCCCTTACATGTGAAATCTAAAGAATAAAATAAACAAAAACAGAAGACACAGTTGCCAGAGGGGAGGGAGTTGGGGGATGGGTGAGAGAGGTGGAGGGACTGAGGAGTACAGATGGGTAGTTACAGAATAGTCATGGGGATGTGAAGTACAGCTTAGGGAGTACAGTCAATAATATGGCAATAACTATGGATGGTACCAGGTGGGTTCTGGACATATCGGGGGGAACACTTTGTAAAGTATATGACTGTCTAACCGTTATACTGAATACCTGAAACTAATACAAAATAAGATTGAATGTAAACTGTAATTGAGAAAAATTTTAAGCATTTAAAAAGAATGTGTACAGAGACTCAAAATCAAGTAAAGAGAGTTTAAAAAAAAAACCCCACACACACATAAGCTGTTAACAAAAATAATAGGTAAGTTAGAAACTTTACCGTGGGTTCACTAAAGGAAAAGACTGATTAGATTATGGTTCACAATAGGCAATGTTTCCTATTTTTTATCTGCCTGGCACCTATCCCGCAGCAGGAGAGAGTCTGCTCTCTGCCCTACATGGTCTGGAGTCTGCCTAAGACAGTCCCTCCAGAGGGGCCTGAGAAGGGAGATGGGAAACTGCAGCCTCAGCGCTGCAGATAGTTCACTGGAGGGGCCAGGGATGCGACACCACCACTCAGAACACAGGGTGCTCTCAAAGGAGAGTTATTCCTGCTTCTTGCAATTCTTTTTCAGCTATAAACAGCTACAGCCATTTCCTGAGCATTAACAAAGGCTGTTTGGGCTCTTACATTTCTAGTCATTTGTGACATCTTGGTGACGAAACTGGAAACAATGCATGCGTACACACAAGACTGTGGAGTGCGCCCAGAGAGACTTACACAGGGTTGAAGCCCTTGGACTGCAACCACGTCTTCACGTCCTCGGGTGTGGAGTCATAAGTGATGTTGACAACTGGCACATTCTGCCGTGGCACGTGGAACTTCTTCTGGGCGGCGCTCCGGCCAATGGTCAGCCTGTGGATGAGCTCGTCCTGCACCTCCTCCATCTGCGATTTTCTTCCTAGACGCCGACACCGAGTAGGTTATTTCTGAAAACTCCTAACACATCTCACTCTTCAGAACCCCAGTGCCAATAATCCTTCCGCCCCATAGAATGTATATTAACCAGTGTTCCAACCATCTTTCCTCACTTTCATCCCCACTCAGCATAAATTTCAAGATCAATTATTAAAACTACTCCCGAGCTTTTCTTTTCTCTCTTCATTGTACTCATTGGGCAGAACCCCAATGCTTGTTAAATCTAACTTTCTGTCTATTCTGTGCCTGCACCTGCCCACTGAGTATAACACAACAATGGTCTCATGTTAAATTCATAAACGTGAACCTCAACTGGGTTGTTAACGCCCACTGACAATCACACTACATTTCCTTAGGCCAGTGTCTCCATTTCCAGAAACACTGAAGACATCTGACAATGGCTGGAGCCACTTTGGGATGCCACAGTTGGGGTGATGGGTAGAGGCCTGGGATGCGCAGAACGACCTACAATGCACAGGTCAGTCTCCTGCAGCAGAGTTATCCAGCCCAAAATGTCAACAGGGCTCAGGTTGAGAAATGCTGTGCTAAACGTATAATTTGCCCACTTTTCCACAAGTATCGACCATCTTTTTTTTTCCTCTGCAAACCTCCAGCACCTTAATCCTTACCCTAAACTGACATTCTCACTTTCCTAATTTCTGAAAAAATATTTAAAAAGAAAGAAGAGCCCTGGCTGGCTTGGCTCAGTGGATAGAGCGTCAGCCTGTGGACTGAATGGTCCTGGGTTCAATTCCAGCCAAGGGCACATCCCTGGGTTGTGGGCTCGATCCCCAGTGAGGGGTGTGCAGGAGGCAGCCAATCAATGATTCTTTCTCATCATTGATGTTTCTCTCTCTCTCATTCTCCCTTACTCTCTGAAATCAATAAAGAAATATTTTTTAAAATAAATAAATAATAATAAAGTAAGAAGAGAATCTCCCTAAGTTTCCCTACAGCTCTTCCATTCTCCACTGTTCTCTTACATTCACTGTCATTAGGCTCCTGGCCCTCCCTCCACGACACTTTGCTAAACTCCAGTGGTAGAGTCCCAGTCCTTGTCTCACTTAACCTATCAGCAACGTTGAGGGAGGCGATCTTCCCAAAACACTCCTTGTGGCCCCAGGACACCACTCTCCTGCTATGCCTCCCTGGGCCTCTCCTTCTCAGGGTCCTTTGCTGAAAAGTCTCATCTCCCCAACTAAGTAACATGGAACTGCCCCAGGGCATCCTGGGACCTCCTCTCTGCCTGCATGCCACCAGTGAGCCCTGGAACTAGGCTCAGAGCTTTAAATGCCACTGAAAAGCTAATAACAATGATTTCTCCAATCCAGAAGCTCCTGGGACTTTGGATCCACATGCCGATGGCCCCCTTGATGGCCATTTAGATGTGTACTAGAGATCTCGAATATCACATGTCCAACTCTACCTGCTTATCTTCTTCCTGGAGCTTGCTTTTATGCTAGACTTTCCAACTTAGTTAAGGATAATTCTATTTTTCCAGTTCCTGTGGCAGAACACCATGGAGCTATGCTGAGTCCCTTTTGTCCTTGATAGCATCTAATCCATCAGCACATCCTGTTAATCCTGCCATCAAAATTTAACAAATATCCAACCACTCCACTCCGGTTTTCTTCCATTACCAGCTTGGTCGAAGCCACCAGCCTATTCACAGCTCTACCTGCTTCTCATTACCACCACCACCTTTTGCTCATTCTTTTCTCAATACAACAGCTGAAATGATCTTTTTAAAAGTGTAAGTCAGATATTACAACTCTTCTTCTCCAAGTTACTCCCAGGAAAAGGCCCTCCATGACTTCCAACCCCTCCACTCTCATTCCCAGTGGCTTCCTTGGTGCTCTTCACATTTAAGAGCCTCTGCCTGGAATGCTTCCTCCACAACAGCCACATGGTTGTCCTCCCTCTCTCAGATTCCTCCCGTTTAAAACTGCAACCTCCTCCCCATCACAGGCTTTATCAATCTTGGTCACTTAGTACCTTCTAATGTTCACTATCAATTTATCTACCTACTAGTATGTACCTACCTACCTACATATCTCCTTTCATTAAAACAGATGCCTGACGTGAAAAGCAAGTTTGGCTGTTTTGTTTGCTTTATCTGGAAGAGTATAGGAATTCAATAAATAACCTCTGACTAAATGAATGAATGAGACATTTTGCTGACGTTTTCACTGAGACTTTGAAACATTATTAACAAAGCCCTAAAATAGATAAGAAAATGAATGCCAAAAGAGGAGAAATGATGTGTCAGAACCACATTGTTAATTAGTAGCAGAATTTAGCAAGAACTGGTTTTTCTGACTTTGACTCAGCAAGTTTATGGCCATAGTCATTGAAACTATCTTTCTTTGACTTACCTACTATGACTCTTCCCTACTTATTTTATGCTTAAGGAAATGATGCATACATGAACACATCTTATGAGAAAAATGGGGAAGAAATAAACCCATGGGAAGGGGACGAATATGTTTGTTTATTTAAAAAATATACACACAGATATATTATTTGTATATCACCTTCAAGGATTAAATACAAAGACCTGATATGTATAATCCACTTAACTAGTTAACTTGTTAGGTGACAATAATGACCAGGTCTCAAAGAGAGCTTTTTGTGACCATTACACTATGATTCTCCCCCTCCCGGGTCCTCTCCCAAGGAGAGTGTTTTAGAAAGTGCTTGGTGTCCCTGAGAAATAAGTGAAAGTGTGACAACACTCATATAGTGTTATTTCAGTCTGGTTTTTTAAAAATGCTTCAAATATTCAGGAAACTTCTTGAAGAAGTCATCAAAAGAAAATAGTAGAAAGGAAGAGAGGAAGGGAGGGATGGACAGAGGAAGGGAGGGATGGAAAAAGGGAGTGATGTAGGGTGGGAGAGAGGGTGGGAAGGAAGGGAGGAGGGAGGAAGGAAAGAAGGAGTAGAAGGAGGGAGGAAGGGAGGATGAGAGGGCTAGAAGGCTTGACAAGAACTATTATGGATCGTCACATTTAAATAACTCATTTATTAACTCTTTCAAATCACATCGTACTTTCTCAAAGGAATAAAAAAGAAGAATGATCACTACACTAAAAGATTTGTTTTTCTGTCTATTGACTCGGCCACTACGTGATCACCTGTGGTCTGCCCACACCACGGTCATTTTCCCGAGTACAAACACCTCTTGTAACATGCCCTGGCTTTGGTCTCTGCTGGCGATGTTCTGGTACACAACAACAACCAGACTAACTTTACAACTCTTTCTAAAATGACACTTCTGATTACAAATGATTAAACTCAAATAATAAGGGCTAACATTTCAAAGGCATGGAAGAAATGCAAGACAACTAAAATCACTGATATCTTCCAGTTGAGGAGAGAAAAGCCTTTTGAACCCTCCGGTAAATCTATTTGAAAAGTTTATATGACACGGGCCTCCGAGCAGATAGCGTGAAGAGGCAAAAGGAGTCTGGTTCTTGCTACTTGCTGCCTTTTACAAACTGCCATGCTGACCTTTCCCCCTTATTCATGGCTGTTTGGTCACATTTTTATGCGTGAGCATTGGCTTTGCAGTTCCTTCCAGGCAGTAAGCATGTGTAATAACTTGATTGCCTGAGTTCTGTCAAAGTACACAACTATGCAGGCAGCACAGTTGTGTACTTTGACAGAACTCAGGCAATCAGTTACTACACACATCTACCTGGTTCTAAAGGACTGCTGAGACCCTCCAACAGCCATTCGGAAAATAAACTGTTCTCCGAAAATACGAGAAGGAGTTATCCAAAAATACTTATTTTATAAAATGAAATATATTTATCTAATGTCAAACCACATTTTTGCGATATCTTTAAAAGGGATTTTATGTAAGTAAATGAAATTTTTAAAAACTATTTTAAGGGAACAAGTACATGTGTTAATTTTGTGAGAGATATTATGTTTTATAGAGCAAAGTCCCTCTTTTACTTATGAAAAACAGACTTGAAAATGATGAGTCACAATTACCAGGAGAGTTCTCTATCTTTAAAGTATTCTAACTATCCTCTTTTCCATTAAGTTATTCTTAGTTTCTTAGACTAGGACAAAGAACAAACTGTCCCAACCCACAGACCGTCCAAATGGGGGCTGGAGGCCTGTGAACTCTGACCCGGGGCCTGGAAAGACTGTCACGGTATCAAAGATTACTGTTCTGACGTATCCAACGAGGGAAATGTTATAAACTTGTGGCAAGAATGAAGAAAGAACAGTAATTCCTAACAGGAAATGTCTTTCCCACAGGGAAATCAATAAAAACATTTATAGAACTTTCTCATCACAAAACTATGTCTTCAGTGTCTTTGAAAAAATATAAACATCTTTTAAAAATACACAATTTTTTAAATTTAGTAGCATATACTTACAAACACTTACAAACATTCTCACCCACACGTTGGTTTTAGCTACACAGAGTTCATTGTTTTTCCAAAATTTCGTTTTTCAGTTAGTATTTTTGGTGAGATTAAAGTGTAGATAAGAAGATGATTTTTAAATTGGCTCACCCCTTGAGAGAGATGGTAATATATAAAATAGGCTTACGCTTTACCCACTTAATCAGAATTTCTAGAACAAGTAAGTAGCAATAGTTTTACTTTGTTCTTTTTCTTTCTTTTTTAATTTATCAAAATTGGCCACAATTGAATAGAAGTGGCTGGTATTTACTGAGGTGAAAAAAACAGTAGGATAAAATGGGAGTGAAAAATTCAGTGATTTGGTTTTGAATTTGAATCTTAAGCATTAAATCACAATTATAAAGTTAACTAGAGACCGAGTGCATGAAATTCGTGCACTTGTGTGTGGGGGGGTCTCTCAGCCCGACCTGACCTGCGTCCTCTCACAAAGAGAGGGCCTAACCTGTCAATTGGACATCCTTACTCCTGCAGCCAAAGAGGGAGAGGCGCTCGCCACCACTGCTGCACTCACCAGCGTGAGCCCAGCTTCTGGCTGAGTGGCGCTTTGTATATTACATATCCTTTACACACACACACCAGAGTAAGAAATGCCTTCCTGGTTCCAGTTTTCTAAGAATTTTTATCTATAAAATATAAATCATGCAAAATAATTTTATAATGCTTATCAAACATAATTTAAAGAGTAAATGTATCAGATATATACATTAGGGTATGGCAAAATAAAGATTATCTTAGGATTCTCTTTAGTTTTCAAATTATCTACTAAGTACTAAGTACTAAGAAGGATAATACAAATTTGGTCACAGTGTTTTTTCTTTTTATTTAAATCTGGTTTTCACATAAATGGTTCAAACTTAAATTTATGAAAGACTAAAGTTAAAATATAAATTACATGAAATCTGAATCCAGAGACCAAGTTTGAAACTGCTATTGGCAAAATGATTATATTAAGTTTATACACACACACACACACACACACACACACACACACACACACATATATGATGCGAGAATAGTAAATATAAGGAAAAGGAGCAGGAAAACTATGGTGATGATACGGATGATGATATCAGCAAATATTTACTGACTGCTTATAACGTGGCATATTGATCAAGATCAACCAGAGCTTTTCTACCTCAACACCACTGACATTTTGGGCCAGATAATTCTGTTGGGAGGAAAAAGGTCTGTTCATTTTAAGATATTGCTAAACCTCCCTGGATCTACCTATTAGGTGCCAGTAGCATCTACCCAACTGTGATCAGAGTACATCTTCAGACAATACCACAAATCACCCCTGACCGAGAACAACTGATCTAAGTGCTTCCTTTGCGTTATCTCATTGAATCTTCACAATCACCTATATAAGTAGAAACCAATATTCCCCCCATTTTTCAGATATCGAAGTACAGAGGATTATTAAATTGTTGAAGGACACACAGTCAGTACGTGATGTGTCACTGTGCACACTCAAGTATGTATAGTTCCAGAATCTTCATCCCACCACCACAACCCTGTTGGAATATGTGTAGAAATACACACACTGGAGGATAGAGCTTCCTGTTTTTCAGAATTACTTGGAGGATTAAAAAAACGAGGTGAAAATCTTTGCAATCTACTGAGCATGATGCACCTATAAAGGACGATTATTTATATTTAATGTTTGGTGCCAGTAAAACCAATAATAAACAGTATTTTACCTAGCAGTGCTTTTACCTTGCGGAACGCACTGTGCAGTTTTTGTGTGCTCCTTCCCCCTCCCCCCACAGCGGGGAACTTACGGTCCACGGGCAGCTGTTTGTGCCTCTGGCTATCTCGCATAAAACTGCCACCACTGTCACTGGAGCTGCTGTTCTGACGGGCGACGTTTGCAGGGGCCTTTGACACGGGAACAGGTGCTGGAGTGGTCGGTGGGAGGGGGACAGGGACAGGGACAGGTGCTGGCGTTGGAGGAGGTGATGGAGCAGAGGGAGGGTCAGTGGGTTTTGGACCATATTCCATCCTTTGCTTCTGTAAAAAGACAAACAATTAATTTGAAGTTGTAAAGACATAAACGTTGTCTAGGAAACAAAGTATAATTTGACAGGACATTTTTGGCAATTTATTTGTAAACTTAATTGCAAATTTACATATGTATGTATATACACACAAGCATATACACACACATCCCAGTCCTGTTTAGTATAATAATCATTAAAAAAATGAATACTCTATGTATTTATTCAAAATCAAAATGTAAATTAAGGAGTCAAAAGAATATACCAATAGGAAATAGAAATATTAATAATAATAACAAATGTTAAGAAAACTAAATTTGATCTTGGAATCATACACAACCAGGGTAGGTCAAAGGATTTCTGATTATTTCATAGTTTCCATTCATAAGAACTTCTCATTGCACTGGAAGGATAAATATCAATAACATAGAGCATTACCTATTCCTTACTTTAAATGTATGTTATATTAAAAATATTTAAATTTGTTTCTAAGTAATTTGTTAAAAAGAGGGGCAATATTTCAGTAGTTAAAAGAACTTTGTTGTAAAGTAAGCAAGCAATTTTTAAATGTTCGTTTATTCAAGTCATAACTCTGTGCCATCATCTTCATGCTAATTTCTTACAATTAAATATTTTCTGTGTTAAAATGGGAATGTTGTGGATAGATAGTGCTGAGGGTAATAGTACATCTAATTAAATGATGACTGAAACTCAAAAGTATATATTAGGAGAAAGGCCATATGGGGATTTGTATTAGAAAAGGTGGATGTGATAGAATCACAATAACTTTCAGTAACTTGCAAATCACTATAGGCTATTATAAAACAGTATTCATGTATATTCCCTCTTAAACCACACACAATAGCTAAAACTTCAAATAAAATAATTTTAACTAATAGAAAACTGCATTAAAACAAGTCCCAAATTCACAAAAGGCACTTATTTTGGTGTAGAGTCAACTATACTAAGCAATGGACCTGTAATTTGCATAAAGTTTAGATACTGCACTCAAACAATTTTAGTTAATCCAAATCCAGGATTAGCAGATAAAGTACAAAATGCAGGCCTTTTGGTAATCTGGTCCTTTGGTTGAAAAAGTATTATTTACTTTTAATTTCTAAATTGGCCCAAATATAAGGTAATGGTGATAGTTAGAGGCCTCCCCAATTTCCACAGAGATCAAAAACATAAAAATACACACCACACACATATCACTTTTAATTAAATCATTATTCAAAAAACAACACACCAACCATCATCACAGTTCGCTTCACAGCAAATGAGTAACACCTGTGGAAACCAGCGTGGGCAGGACCTTGGCTCTTTTCTGCTGTCTCTTTAAAAGCTACGACTCACCAGCCAGTGGGTGGAGAAGGTGGGAAGGGTACAAAGCAAGGATGAAAGCAGAAGGAAGAGGTGTTTATAATGCTGCTAGGTGCTGGAAGGGGGAAGGAGAGCAGCTGAGATTCATGCAGCACCCATGGAGTTAGATGTGAGAGAAGCAGAAATTGCTGACCCCCTCAGCACTCAAGGCCTAGAAACATTACTAACATATTAAATAAAAGAGCAAATTCTGATGATTATTCCCCACAAAACAATGTTCCTATATTTGGGCCAATAAAATATTTAAAGCAAACCAAATACAGCAAACATCACCAAAATGTAATACTTAGCACACACCAAAGTCATCCGATTAAAATATATGCAATGTTCCCTTGATGGGAATGTCCTTTGCACATAACAACATGAAGGGTTAGTGAATTCTCACAATAGGATTTCAAAAATGTCAGAGTTTAAATTGCTGTTTTTAAGGCTTAAAAAAAATGCTATCAGCTCTGCATTCCATAATATGATTCATATTTTCAGCTTTTATAAAAAACAAGAACAGCTAGTGTTCTGCTAACAAAATAATACTGTGGAAAACTGAATCCACTGTGTGTTAGTGTCACAGTGGAGCCCGGGACAGGCTCACCAGCTCTCTGTGCCTCACTTTGTTCTCCTGTCACTGCTAGATAATGCAACTCCCTCGGCAACCCAACAGAACCAGAGGCTTCAACAGTACACATATATGTATATTTGGTTAACCATATATGTATATTCAAAGAAACCATATGAAAATTTTTCATAAATTATGCCATACATTTTTACTTGCATATTTTCCCCTTTTCCTTTTTAAAAAATGCTTTTATTGATATCAGAGGAGGAGAGAGATAGAAACATCAATGATGAGAGAAAATAATCAATTGGCTGCCTTCCTTCTGCACACTCCACATGGGGGATTGAGCCCACAAACTGGGCATGTGCCCTCATAGGGAATCGAACCAGTGATCTCCTGGTTCATAGGTCAATGCTCAATCACTGAGCCACACCAGCCGGGCTATTTTCCCCTTTTCTTGATTCTTCCTGCCTCAAGCTTCCAACCCCTGAAATGAAAAGGGGGAAACGTGCCTTCCTCAAATCATGACACCCTCTTCTGAAATGGCAACCAAGTCAGCTTTTCTTTGGAAGTGGGGGAAAGAGAATCACTATTGATTCTCACATTCACTTTTCTATGTTCCTTCCTATCTTCTCCACTCCACTTTACCTATCATCCAATGCACTGATCTTCTGTTCAGTATTTCTTCTCTTGCCTATTTTTGGTCGGAGGTAGAGAACTGATGACTCTAATGTAGCCTCAGGTTATGGAATGCTTTGGAGAGCAACGGCACCCTGCGCTGTCCTCCTGAACCAAGGGTGCTGGAACTTCAAACCCAAAAAGAAATCTTGGCTAATTCCTCCCAGTTTGCCCAGGAATTTCTCAGTATTAGCACTAAAAGTCCACGTCCCTGCAAACGCTTCAGTTCTGAGCAAACTGGGATGATTGGTCACCTTGGTGTTGACCTGTTTTTACATCATATCTGTTGCTTCCCAACTCTTGCCTTTTTATCTCCCACACGCATATTTAAAGATGTTTAAAACAAAATCTGGCTTTATTCTTTCTCTGAAATAAGTCAGAATTACTAGACTCCATCGAAAATTTACTTTCCTAGTGATAATTAAGTCAGAATGAGTCACTTTTCTTCAGCCACTAAAGCTCAGTAGGAATTCTCCAGGATTAAAGAAAGGTATTTAGAGATAAGCTCCTGCAAGACACTGCTTCCCAGGGGAAACTATGCAAGCAAGCCCAACAAAGCCATTAAAACTGAACTATTCTTAAAAACGTAACCTACACATCTTTTTTTTTCTTCTAAATTTGGTCTCTTTGGAACTTTGTGGTAAAAACTAGGCACAGCTGGAACATTTGGAGGGTGTTAAGTCTAGAGATGAAATTCAAAAAATTATATTAAAAAGAAGTGCCACAAGGGACAAATGCGGGTTACCTCTGACAGCTCCCCAAGTAATTGCTATTAGAAAAGTAGAGCAAATCACATCACAGGAGAAAGTTAACATGGGAGATAGAACTAAAATAATATCAGTTATACTTCACATCAAATATCAGAAAATGTTAGCAAATAAAATTACCTGCCCACGAATCAACCAGTGAGGGAGCTTGTAAAAATATAATTAACTTCCACGCCTCTGATCCAGCCATGGAAAACTAATTATATAGACTCACACGACAGTGCAAACAGTACAGAGTATTTCAGTAACTATTTGTGTATTGGAGTATTATGTTTTTAAAATATTAAGAGATAGGTTCATCTTATTCTTGCTCTCATAAAGAATACACACAGAGTACATTAAATGTAAGACTAATTCTTCTGTAAAGATGATTTACAGAAGGAAATATCTATCTATGTTTTAGTTTTGAACTTATGAGCACAGTCTAAACAGGAAATTTTATAATTCTGTAAAAGTGCAAGTTGGGCAGTAATTTGTATATATATCTATCTACAAACAAAGGTGGGCAAAGGTAGGTTTATAGTTGTACTACAAATAATACAATAATTAATAAATAACAGTTCAAGAGTAAACTATTTCATGTACTCACAACTGTAAGCCTACTTTTGCCAACCCCTGCATAGATAGGATTTATTTGTGAAAATCTCAACACGTGAGGCAAAATACAAAGTAACCATGCTTGACTAAAAGCCATACCTCTAATTAACAGATGACTAGAGTGCTCTGAGCTTACTAGTAATTTAAAATGTTTTTAAGTAACTGAATATTATCAGTTGGTCTGCCGGAATGAATATGAAGGCATTTTACTAAAATGGTCACTCTGGCCAGCTGTATCTGAATGTCTGGACTGAGCGTGAAAAAGAGCATTCAAAACATTCATAACATGAAATTAGAAGAGCTAGTGGTTCAGCAGCTACCAGTAGAAGATATTTCCACTTTTACTTGAGGGCTATTTTTACATGGACATAAAAAATAAACTTTTCTATCAAGACTGGATTGTGGAGATCATGAAATTTGACCTTTTCCATTTCACAGCTGAGCAAATGGGAGCACAGATCATGAAATGCCTTCTTTAAGGTCACACAGCTAGTTAGGGGCAGAACCAGAACTAGAATTTCATCTACCAAAACCTACACTGGGCTTTCCCACAGGATCATACTATTTCTTACTAAGAAACAGAGAAGACAAGACAGTTTCTATTGAATTCACAGGACGGTAATGACAAGACATTCATAATTATGAGTATCTTGATAAAGCCAGAATGTCTGTAATAATCATATAGAGCACATAGACTTAATAATTAATAGTGAATGCAAGACCTCTTAAATCATACTTTGAGTATATCAGAAATAACAGAGGATAGGTTGGTTTCTGCTCTTGGCATACAGCTTGAGAATCTGTATGGGCAAAATGGTAACTCTAGCAGACGAACAGTCACAGAGTTAAGAGATCTGGGAATCAAGTCAAAAGAAATATGGGAAACATTATGTAGCAAGCAGATTCCAGGTGGGGACAGAGTACCCTGGGAGTCTACCTGTTTACAGATAAAATATTGCAAAGCCCTGCAATGATCTACAACACAATTTCTATCAAAAGAGATGTCATTTGTCTTCATTTCTCCATCACCCCTCATAAGCACTTACTTCCTTCTCCCTATGGTTTCACTCAATCTATTTTTTATGGTCCACATCTTTAATACATTCTTTCTTACCTCTCTCCCTTTTGTTTTCAAAACTTTGCTCAAGCCATGGGGGAAACACATTAGGTGGGAAAGGCTGTCTTTACAGAGCTGTTAAAAATCACTCCAAAGGTGAGGATATTAAATAGGCTGATTCTCAGGGACATCAGGTGGCAATTCAACACTTCTTCACGACTGGTGCCAGGTACCAGCATCCCTGCCATCAGAAGACAGTCTCTAACCCAGCGTGTGAACAACAGGCCAGGGCTGCTCTTGTGTCCTTCCCCGAGGAGTGGCCTTTACTTATGTGCACTCCTTCACAGGAAGGCAACATCGGTTTAAGAAAATAAAAGTCAGGACTGTGCATACTTCCCACATTGGGTGACTTGTAGATTCTCTATGGAAATAGTTTACATCCAATTCCCTTAGCCCCACCGTTTACAAGATGTCTGCATTCTAAGTGAATTGTACAATTTGGATTATTTTTATAAATTATAAAATAGTTAAAGAATTGCAATCCCCCCAAAAATGATGCATAAGGCAAAAGTCCAATTCCAAGGTCGGGGACTGATCAGATCAACTTATATCGCAGTATAATTCACAGTGAAGCTATTCTAAGAAAATACCCCTGTAAGCACTCAAACAGCAAAAACTCTATCTATACAAAGTGAGATGTCAATCTTTTCTAAGCACTATTCCCACACTAGCTAAGTACAGCAGAGCCCGTGCTGTGGAGCAATCCACAGTCCTGGGTCCCAATCCTGGCTTCACACAGCTATGCAGCTGTAGGCAAGTTACATCTCTGAGCCTCAGTTTCCTCAGATTTTAAATGTGCCTATTTCCTAAGGTTGTGATGGGGATTAGAAATTAGATATGTGAAGTGTTTAAACCATGCCAGGCACACAGCATGGACACTGTCACTGGCATGGTCCCTTGGAGTATAATGCCATTGTTCTCTGTGAGCGTGAAGGACACATAAGCAATGAATCATAAGATATCTTAGTGCGGTACAGTGAGGAATACAAAATGTTTTTTGTAAGAAGTTTCTTTAAACGTCAACATTTTGATATCATTGGGAGGAAGAGATAGGAGAAAGTGTGTGGGCCATGTCTGAGCAGAGTGATGGTCACTGCTCCTAACACACAAGCACAAAGGGGAAGAGCAGGGCTCTAGGGCAGACCTGCTCAATGCCAGGAGCTGTCTTCCTCTTTATCAAGTGCAAGATGCCAGCATTCAGTAAATGTTTGTGGCGAGAATAAATGAGAAGATGAACAGCACATAGAATTGCTTTTGATATGTTTGTAATCCAGGGGAGTTCTATCGGGTTAGGGTGTTAGAGTCACTGGAATATACATCAATCTCTATTGTCAATCTGAAGTGAGCTGCAAGGTTTCTTGTTGGTTTAGATAAAAGGTATCTGGCAGCACTGTTGTAGAGATATAGAATGATGGACATATGTTTCCAAGGATGCTTTTGTCTTTCCTATCTTACTCTAATCATTGTGCATGTGTATACATGTGTGCGCGCGCACGCGCGCGCGCGTGTGTGTGTGTGTGTGTGTGTGTGTGTGTTATCATCCAGGCTTTCAGAATAGAAATCCTGTAGAGTAGTATTTATGTCAGATAGCAGAGGGCAGATTGTAAAGCTTGCTTATTAAAATTTTACAAGATTCTGATGGATTTGTTGGGCTCAGCTCCAAATTTTTAGGAGGTGATAAAAAAAAATTGTTTTTAATACCAGGGTGTGCACGCACACACACACACACACACCCACCACCACATAAACACATACACAGAGCTTTTGTACACATGTTCACATACTTCACCACATTCAGAGTTGCATCCAGAAATTTTCAGAAGACAGTCAGATAGTGTTAAAAGTTTAAAAGGGAGAAGCCCAAACAGGCAATCCCCACAGTTTCTATTTACATAAAGTAGCAAAACAAACTCCTGAAACCTGTGAGCACTTAAAAAACTTCTTGGTTGTGCCAAAGTTGACAAAAATATAAGATGAGGCTCTGTTCAAAACAGGAGAGACAGATTTTATGTTCTCACAAAGTACTTTCTCTACCTAAAATATGTATTTATAGTTTTTGGTTCAATTTTAGACAGAAGCTACCTTGAAACAGAAAAGCCAACTATGGCTCAAGTCAGGAATCAAAACTGAAGAAAAAGAGAGGCCTAAACAGTAAACAGGCAAAGGTAAGAGAAGTTAAACTCCTTAGGAAATCTCAGGGCAGGGGGAATACTTAGAATTTATATTATTTGCAAGTTTGCAATATTTTATGAAAGTTTGCCCATGTCTAGCAACCATGCACACAAATGGAAATAAACTTGGATAATGTTTTTAACATCTAAAATATAAACTCTCAGATTCCAATCACGTACAGCTACAAGGGACGTCCTTGTGAATAGTGACTTTAACAGTCCTTCATGGGTTAAACATTAAAAACAGTCCCTAGAGCTCAAAGGGGGTAGACTCTATCCCTGTTTTTTGCATACATTTCAAGCATACACTCCTTAACACTGTTTAAGGAATTCAGTCAAAACCTCTATAGGAAAGAACATGAATAATTCACATTTATAAACCAGACAGAAGCCTCTATTATGTCAAGTAACCACACCTGGAAATCAGAAAGAAAGAACTTAGGAAAGAAAAAGGTAATAAAACCAAGTCAGAAAATTCACTTCAAAAACCCACAGGAAATGGAAAAGACCATACCTTGAATAACTCAAACTCCTTCTTTGGCATCAACAGCTAATGACAAATAATGAACATAAAATAAATACGTAATATAGATGTATATCAGGCCAGCCAAAATGTAAGCACAGCAAACAGAATTTCCATTGCCATCCCTTTTAAGTTATAAAAATATATACATTGTACACTGATTCTTTCTTTTAAACGTCTGTTTGATTCTTGGATTCCAATAAGGCAGGAGTGGATCTGGACAAGTGCAGGAACTCTTGAAGCTCAATTGCTATGAGGAGCCACAAGTGCTTGAATGAACAGTCATGGAGCACATGAGCACAATCTCAGTTTGGACTTTCTGTATTTTATCAACTATTTCACGGCATATTCTATGTAGCTTCTACTCAAACTTATGACATTTTTACGTGGTCAGATACGATATTTTGCTCACAATTCTGAAAATTAAAAGAATTCTTCCTGGAACATGGGAAAGAAGCCGCATCAGGCTTAGAGGCTACACAGGGGACAGCCCATCTATTCTGGCTCTGTTGGCAGATCTGACTCTAGAGATTCTGTCAGACCAAACATCCCAATACTTGAGTAGCAAGTGAATCCAGGTGTGAAGGTGAATGCCATAACCAGCATCACTTCAATTCTGGAAATGTGTCATAGGACTCAAGGACTGTCCAATGATCAAGAAGAAAAAGCCTGACCCATGCAACCTATAGCATAAGTACATGGTAAACTTAAAATCAAGAGAGGAAAACTGAACAAATACTCAGGTGGAGATAAGTGCAAGCTCAAGGTTGGCCAGTGGCAGAATATTGAAGAGAATGAGGGCAAAGGCTGGTGCAGATGAACTGCTGGATCCTCCAGCCACTGGATCCTCCAGCACCATCGCCTAACAAGAGGAAGCCACTGAATAGAAGGTAAGAGTGAGCAGGCAGAAAACATTGAAGAATGAAAATAATAGCATTCAGAGAAATAATCATTTACTGAAAAACATTTTGAGCAATATCCTAAATATCTGAAGCATAAAACATATGTATAATTCTTCCTTATGTCTCTCACCATTGCCCCCGAAATACCCTAGAAAAAAATTATACAACCAATTAAACTTCAAAATTATTAACACACACAAACGCATTTAAATCCTTTTTAAGAGTAATAAAATTTAAAATTTGTTAAAGTTTTGCTCAAAAATCATAATGACCTGTATAGTGTGTGTGTATGGCGGATCAGCACGCCCTAATCCAGATTCTGTAGGTCTCACAATATCCAAAATGTTATTTGGCACAAATCCAGATTCTCCGCTTGCGTTTCGAACTTTCCACCACTGCTTCCTATCATCCAGGATCTGTCATTATGTAAGAAAATAGAGACATCATTTCTATACCAAAATCATGAAGGAAATTCAATTTTTACTTCTAGATCAAGAAACCTTTTTTAACTTCTAGTAAACTGACTTAGCATAAGCATGTTGTTCTAACATGAATGATTCCTAGGAATTACACTAAGTATTACAATTATTAGTATAGATCAGATATGGGGCCACTATCGTGAATCTATTCAAAGCCTATATTACCTCTCAAAAATGTGTATTTGCAATATATCTGAAGTACTTATAGGTAACTCAGACAACTAGGTTAGGAAGGTCTGCATGTTGTCTCCATCCTTGGAATTAAAAGGAAAACTATGCAAACCTTGTATGTTTATTTTTTTTAAATTGCTGTGTTTACCCCACATTATAATTTTAAAAGATGAACACTCAGTTATAAACTAAGAAAAGAGACTTGGGAGTCATGGTAGATTATTCCCACAACCCTTACTTCACTGAGTGCTGGGTATATTTGAGCCAGGCTTCTAGGACAGGAAGCGGGACAATGTTTTCTGTTATTAAAATATAAGATACATATACATGTGGCTTGATAAGTAGCCTTAATTCTAAAATGAATAAAGCCCAAGAGGAGGAAGAGGGCAAAATAAGCCCAGAAACCCCACTCCCACCCTCACCACCCAAAAGAAACAAACTGACCAATAACAAACAGATTAAGTACTTCCCCTCCTTAAAGGACACAGGTACTTAATCTGCTCCATCCTTAGTAAAATAAAATGATACTGAAGAATAATTGCTTGACCTCAGCATTCCTTTGAGAAAGGTTTAGGTATATACCCAAAAAGGAATAGAATAAATCCACTTTACTCAAGAGTATGTAGAAGTAAAACGCTACTACCTCTAAAATATCATCCTTTTGAACTGAGAGCTCACTGTTGTTCCTTGCCACAAAGTCATACTTGGATTTGGCATATTTCTTGGGTTGTGTTACTTGTGGTTCATAATTTCTATAAAAAGAAAGAAAAAAAGATTATTCTGCTAGCTCTTCCTAAAGGCTGAAAACGGAAGTAAAATACTAAGGCAAGTCAATTCCTACCAGGAAACATTCTGACAAATTATTTTGACAGTAGTTTAGTTTTATGATATTTCATAGAATATAAAAATTAAAAGAAACTTTGGACTTTTCATTATTAAAATGAAAAAACTATGGCTAGGGCAAAAATATATAATGAGAATTCAAAGACTAATTGGCACTAAGCCAAATCTAAACTGCAAGTCTGAATTACTTAACCACTAAATATACATTGTGGATATGGCTTTGTTAATTATCTTCTTCTACCATGAAAGAATTAGGATAAAGATCAATGTTAAATTTTTAGATTAAAAAAATCAATAAAAATATTTTTTAAGTTGGAAAAAAAATCAGTTAGTCTTTTACATAAAATTAAAGGAGACTGAAGATAGTTTCCATAGTAGTAACTTCAACTATATGTTGATTTCACTATTCAAGTAATATGTTTAATTTATTAACCAAATATATATTTAAGAATTATGACTGTCCAATTTTAGGAAAGCTTTACCCAGTTATCTAAATTGCAAGGGAAGGAATGGATTAAGTACAAACCAATAACACTTCCAAATTAATTAAATAATTTACTATAAACTTATTTTAATAGGAAGGACCTAAGAGTTCTATACTTAAAAAAATAAAACTTTCTTAATAAAACAAATACTTCTTTTCATCATTAACTTACCATTAATAGATTTAACCACATAGTTAAAAAAAAACTTTGGTATATAATATAATAAAACCTTAATATACATCAAAATGAACTAATAGTATTTTCTTCATTTTATTAATAAAATAACTTTAACTGCTATGAATTGATTTTATGCTCTAATCTTCTCCTCCATTTACATCCCCACATTTCCTCACATATCTCTACAAGATGAAAAGCAAAAGGGACTAAAATGGCTCGTCATCCTTCTCCTCTTAACGTGGTCATTCTTTTTGCTGCCCACCAAGGTCCTCAGACAGCTATGAACACAATGTATCCTGTCCCCGTAGGTAAATGGCTCCTCTTAGCTTGTGACTCCAGAACAAGAGGTTCAGGGGCAAAGAAAAAAAGATGAGCTATAAGAGATGCTAACTACTGGCTATTCTTGGTATATTTAAAAAATGAGAAAAAATGAAACTCTAGCTAAATCATTATTATACATTATTATTAATAAGAATTCTAAACTGTGTTCCATGGATTTCCCATCCTTATGTCTAGTTACATGATCCTATTCTATTAAGATTTCATTGGGAGTGGGGGGAGAGGGTAAGATAAAAGATTCAATACTCCCAAACTTACAAAAACAGTTCCTATCTTTCCTCCCTCATATTCTTCTCTCCTACGATGTGGAAAATAAGCACAACTAATAATGCAGAGCTGAGTACCGTAACACAGGTAAAATAATTCTCTGCAACTATGCACTCAATAATCAGTAGGTTAAGGAGAAAACGGCTGCACTTCTCCTTTAAGTTTTTGCTATCTTGGGGATCTCAGAAGCGATTGCCAGCGTGTACTTACAAAATATTTCAGAATTTACAAATATTCAGTTTCTTGCTTTCTATAGATTAAACCTGGGTATACATTGACCATAGCTATCAACTTGAAAAATCAAATGTTATAACTTTTCAGATGTACCAAAGTTTCATAAAAGACCTGGAATGTATAAAAATAATATGGTCTCTGTTTCTCACTTGGAATAACGGATTTACATTTAATATATGGTAGACATGAAGAAAGCAATGACCCAAGACTTCTCTAAAACATTACTTGCTTTTGAATGGCAGTAAACTATAATCCTTCTAAGGTGAGGGCTGTTAAGTTCAACAGATGATTTTTCTAATGACACAGTAATTTTACTGAAGAGTAAATATACTTCAGATGGTATGTATTGCATTCTTGGCAGAGTTTAAGATGAATAATAATTATTATAAAAACAAATTCCAACTCTCTGTGTATTTCATATCAGATGAGAACTTTCAGTTTTTACAATAATAATAACAAATTTTCTTAGCAATACAGATAATTAATGACTCAGTGTCTACCAACTATCCAGTCCCCATTATAACAGCACAGCTGAGAGGTGGGCTCCATAAAGACAACTGAGTTATATGGTCTACCCACTACCCAAAGTATTTTTTAAAAATTCTTTATGTGGCTAAGTTTTGGTAACTCTAAGATTTATACACTTGAATACTCCCCTTCATGAAATTTTCATCACTAAATTCCATTTAAATTTATGAAATAAACCACAGTATTCTCTAAATGAGGTAAAAATATATAGCAACTTTTAAAAGAATGTCCCTTACATCATCTGTGATATATAAAATTCCATGAGAAAACTGACGCTCTTTTCTAGTTAACTAGTGTAAAAAACCATCCCAACTTACTGGAGTTATGAAACAAAAGGAAAAAGGAAGAATCACTAATCTGAAATAACTTCTTATTATTGACAACTAAACAGAAACAAAGGAAGAAGAAAATATGAGGATGAATAATGAGTTAGTCAAGAAGAATTTCAATGAAATAACTTAAACTTCAAAAGTGATTTTCATGTATATCTACTAAAATTGCACCTAAAATTAAAAAGCATTTCATGTTGACATTTTCAAAATGTATTACTCATTGCTGACTCTTCTTTGCACTCAATTAGAATAATACCTGTATAATTTTCACACCTTTTAGTTAAATATTAACTATCTCATCATTCCCAACAGAATCTCACATTTTTTAGATTCAACTAAGAAAAGCACATATTGGAAAGATAGATAGATGATAGATAGATAGATAGATAGATAGATAGATAGATAGATAGATAGATAGATGATAGATAAGATAATAAGATAAATAGATAAATAAATAAGAAAGACACTCGTGACAAGTGAGGCTTTGAGGTAGGAGAGTAGAGAACAAGTTCTCTCCCCACTTCATCGGAGTGATCATTCTCCCATATCCTTGCTACTAACATTTCACCTTTTCTTTATCTTATATGGGTTGGCCTTTATGTCAGCCTCACTTGTAGTGGCTGGAAAACAAGATTGAAAAAGTGAACCTATTCCAATTCCTTTATTGCTTACCCATCTCAATTTCCCACCTCTGCTTATATTAAAAATTTTTTAAGAGAGAAAACGTGGGCAAATTAATAAAATGTAAAACTGGAAAGGGAGAATACAGTAAGACAAAATGGTAAAATGGCAGATAAGGCATTGACTCCATTAAAATATTTAGTTTATCTTTAGTTTAAATATTTCTATACAAAGAATGGTTTGTTTGCTTCTGGAGAGAAAAGATGAAGATTATCTCCTTTAAAAGATTCAGAGCTGGAAAAATCCTTAGAGACCATCTAGTGCAAACAGTTGAGAATTTTAAAGCCATTCTTCCTCTTAATTCACATATTTTGTCAGAAACATCATCTTAAGAAAAGAAAGTCATCCCGAGGCAGTTGTGCTATGCTAGAATTGTGGACTGGAGGTTTTGTTCACCAAAACCAGTTCTATGAGCAAACAGCTAGAACTTAACAAACGATTGACAGATGGGCAGCTTAAAGCAGTAACGAACAATGCAGACACTGGCACCTCTATTTGCACTAAATCAGAGACAGACATCCACAACTCTCCCAGCCATGCCCATGGAATATTACCTATCCACATGGCGATTAGGCGTTGGCTTAAAAGCAGCAGCACCATCCCCTTGGTCCAGATGCGGCCCTCTTGTGTAAATGCTATTGAATGCATACCCCTCAGGTGGAGGTGGAAGGTAGTCTGATACACTGGATTGCTGAAAGACAGGGAAGGAGAGATTAAAGAATCACCAACGTTAATTAACTGAATGAGCACTGACATCAATTCAATAAGAACACTCCGCTGTACTGTGATCAGTTTTATTTTCAAGTGATTTCCCATTAAGTTAATAACCATTAAGTGAATAAATTATGAAATGGGGTAATTTGTCCAAGACCTACTTATAATAAAAAAGCAACTAGAGCAAAGGCTAAATCTTAATTCTGGAAATGTTCAGGTATAAAAACAATATAAGCATAACTCAGAGATACTGCAGGTTTGGTTCCAGACCATTGCAATAAAGCCAGTACCCAGTAAAGCAACTAGTAATATTTTTACTGCTGAGTGGTCTGGCCTTCAATTTGTAAAAAAAACAAACAAAACAAACAACAACAAAAACACAACATCTGTGAAGAGCAATAAAGGGAGGCACAATAAAATGAGGTATGCCTATACCGTATATTCTTTTCTCACGAATTTCAGTACTAGGTGATTTTAGGATTACTCAGACTTAGAACAGCTTATATAAAATAAAAGTGGTTTAAAAATAACAAGAAAACCCTTAAACCTTGCTTTCTCTGTTTAAGAAGCACTCCTTGCCGAAACCGGTTTGGCTCAGTGGATAGAGCGTCGGTCTGCGGATTGAAGGGTCCCAGGTTCGATTCCGGTCAAGGGCATGTACATTGGTTGTGGGTACATCCCCAGCAGGGGATGTGCAGGAGGCAGCTGGTCGATGTTTCTCTCTCATCGACATTTCTAGCTCTCTATCCCTCTTCCTTCCTCTCTATGGAAAATCAATAAAGATATATTTAAAAAAAAAAGAAAAAAGAAAAAAAAGAAAAAAGAACCTTAGAGGCATCTTTAAAAAAAAAAAAAAGAAGAAGAAGAAGAAGCACTCCTTTACCACTCCTTTAGCAAGGTAAATATTGTCACATAAAAATCATCTGAACTCTATGCATTAAAATTATACCACCCTCACATTTTTTTTTTATTATTTAAAATGTACACAGAAACTATTTTGTATTATTTTTTTAAATGGCAGCACTATTATCAGATTTACTGTTAAGGAGAACATAAAAAGGCACACATTGATCTTAACAGTCAATAGTCCAGAAAGAGACAATGCCAGAGTCACTTCCGTTTGCAGTTAACACAATTCGGACATGAGCTTACTGGGCTAACCAAGCGGAGACTGAGCTGCATGCTTCTAAAGTTATGGGGGGGAAACAAAGAAACAACAACACATTCATCTGAAGATTTCGTACTGCTCCATTTTGTAAAGTGAGGTATGGGGGATACATGGCAGACTCTGAAGCACTAGGATTCCTTGACTATTTCAATTGTTTATGTACTCCCTGGGTAAAATATTTAAAACTGGAAATGGTTTAGAAAATTACTGGGCACATGTTTAATATAGTTATTTCTAATGACAAAGTTGGCAGGAATAGGGTTGAGTTTATCACAGACTGAGATTTGGTGTGTCTCCATGGTCCAGTGTTGATATTTAAATACCCATACCATATTATTCCTAGGAACTATATCAGGATGCTGCACTTAACACACAAATAAAAATAAACCATTTCCACCATTTAATTATCTTAGCAAACCATCAACAAAATGAAAATGCAATCTATGAAATGAGAGAAAATATTTGCAAATCCTTTATCTGATGGGGGTTAATATCCAAAATACATAAAGAACTAATACAACTCAGTAGCCAAAAAAACAAAATCCAACTAAAAATGGGCAGAGGAACTGAACAGACATTTTCTCAAGTAAGTCATACAAACAGTCAACAGGTACATGAAAAGCACTTAGCATCACTAATCATCAGGGAAATCTAAATCAAAACCACATAAGATACCACCTTACACCTGTTCGGATGGCTGTTATATATAAAAAAAAAATACGGTAACAAAATGTTGGCAAAGGCGTAGAGACAAGGAAACACTCTTGTGCTGTTGGGAATGTAAATTGGTATAGCCATTATGGAAAATAGTTTGGAGGTTTCTCAAAAATCAAAAATCAAACTACTTTATGACTCAGCTGTCCCACTACCGGATATATTACTGAAGAAAATAAAACTGGGGTCTTGAAGCGATATCTGCATCCTGATGTACATCTCAGCATTATTCATAATAGCTAAGATATGGAAAGAGCCTAGGCCAAGCCTTGGTTGACTCATGGTTTGTTTAGAATCAGGGGCATAGGTGAGGTGGAGTGACAAATGCGGTGGCAGTGCTCGCCTTCACTTCCACCAGGCCAGTGGCAGGTCCACCCCAGGCTGTGTGGTCATCAGAGTCATTGGCATCATTTCCTCCTCCCTCGGACACTCCTCGTCACTATTATGCATAGTGGCAATAAAGTATCAACAGATGAGTAGCTAAGGAAGATGTGGGGTGTGTGTGTGTGTGTGTGTGTTTGTGTGTGTGATATGTATATGTTACAATGGGATATTAGTCATGAGATATAAGGAAATTCTACCATTTGCAACAACATGGATGGATGAATCTTGAGGGCATTATGCTAAGTAAAATGAGCCACACAGCAAAAGACAAATACTGAATGGTATCACATTTTTCTTTTTCTTAAAAAAAGAAAAAAAATCAAACTCATAAAAATAGTAGAAAAATGGTAGCCAGGGGCTGGGGGAAATAGGAAGTTGGTAAAAGGGTATAAACTTTCGGCTATGAGAGGCCTGAGACTCTAATGTAAAACATGGAAACTATAATTTATAACATTGTATTATATAATTAAAATTTGCTAAAAGAATCAAATTTAAATGTTGTCAACAAGGAAGATAAATATGTGAGGTGATGGATGTGTTGATGTGCTAATTAACTAGATGGGAGTTAAAATATGGTAGTAACGCTTTACATAAAGATAACTTTAAATAGCTTACATTTTTTGTCAATTATACCTCACTAAAGCTGAAAATAAAAAACAAATAGCTTAATTCAGTTTACCATTTCCCAAGGAGAGAGTAGGGGAATTAGAGGATGAGGTAATTTTTTATTGAAGGCTGTTATAAATATAGGGAGGAGTACAAGAAACTGTTAGAATCACCCACGGAGGGAGGCAACCAGTATGAGATCGCTGGGCCCTGAGAGTGACGGGGAGTGTCCGAGGGAGGAGGAAATGATGCCAGTGACTCTGATGACCACACAGCCCGGGGTGGATCTGCCGCTGGCCCTGCGGAAGTGGAGGCGAGCACTGCCACCGCATTTGTCACTCCACCTCACCTATGCCCCTGATTCTAAACAAATCCTGAGTCAGCCAAGGCTTGCCCTGAATGTATGCATAATAGTAACAATAAAGTATAATAAAATCTCTCTTCTGGGAATGACTACATTTTTTATGCCTTTTAAATCATCAGTACTTGGCTTTTCAACAAAATCTTAGGGTATAAAATTTCCTAGAAATGCTAGCAGGCGCCTTTCATTTTCTTTTTTGTTTAATCTCTGAAAAATCATTTATAACCGGAAAAATGAGATAATGCATTGTAAGGAAGGATTGTCAATAATTCTTCTTTTAAAATTACTTACTCAGTGAGAGGAAGTAACTTTTACACTGGAGGTCCCAAATACATTACCCTCTCTTTAAGTATATACACAAACTGAAAAAGAACTCACAGAAGAGAACTCACAAATGTGAATTTCTGAGGCATAATTATAAAGCAGATATATTTTCTTATTTAATATATGAAGACTGTAAGCTGGAAATTTCTATAATTTGAAAATATAAACTGTAATTATAGCAACAGCAAGTGTAACATGATTTCATGTTTTATTACATTTATTCCTCTAAAAACTCTGCTCTCTATGAGCAAAAAAGCTCACAGTGATGAGGTCTGAACTATGAAATTACAGACAGGGATGTCTGCCTGCCAACCACTGCCCAGAGCTCTGAGGTCATCTTCTTAATCACTCAGTTGGAGGGAAGAGCAGTTATGGACTCCACCTAAACCCTTATATGCAGCCAGAAGGAAAAGTTACATTAGAACAAAGTTATTTTCAAAGCAGTATGTTTGCTTTATTTTTTTAATATATAAATTATTTTTATTAATTTCAGAAAGGAAGGGAAAGGGAGAGAGAGAGAGACAGAAACATCAGTGATGAGAGAGAATCATTGATTGGTTGCCTCCTGCAGGCCCCACACTGGGGATCAACCTGGGTATGTGCCCTTGACTGGAATCAAACACAGGCCAAGGCTCTATCAACTGATCCAAACCAGCCAGGGCAGCTTGCTTTATTTTTAAAGTTTCAGAATTTAACCAATTTTCTATAATATGGTTATTGTCTAAGGGAATAATTTTAAGAAGTTAAACTTACATACATTTTTCTCTTTAAAAGTAAGGGTTTACTCTGGTTTGTTAATTCATTCATTGATATCATATCTACCACATTATAAATAGCCATAGTAGTTTAAGAAGATTAATCTAAGAAAATAAATAAAGGAAATGAATAGGACTTCAAGGAGGACCTTCTACAAACTAGACTTCAGTCCTCTACTTACTTCTAGTCATTCTATTCAGTTTGATGAAACAATTAAACAATGTTCAATATTATTTTCTAATAGAACAATTAAGAGTCATAGCAAAATCATTTTGAAGGAATAGAAAGAGGTAACATACCCAATTTCAATCTTTTAATTTGCTCTCCAAATAGGTGTACTCTGTAACTTACTAAATGTATAAAAGATACAACAAATTTTATTACCTCCTGAAGGTATAAGTAATAGTGCTATAAATGATATTTGAAGCTGGGACTTTCCTCCTAGCCAAGCTGATAGGACCCCAGAGGTTTGAAACTAGGCAAAAAGAAAAAGAAAAAGGAAAAAGGGAAAAGAAAAAAACAAACAAACCAAAAACAAGGGAAGAGGGAGAGGGGGGGGAGGGGTGTAGGAAGAAAGGAGGGAAAAGAAAGGGAGAAAGGAAAGAATTAAGGCTTTCAGGAAAGACCTGCTTGGGACAACCTTAGAGAACCTGGGTTCTGGGAAATGTCTTGAGGGTCTGATGATGGGAGAGAAAAATAGAAAGGATAAGCCAGTGGTAGGAGGGCAATTCCTAGATAAGGAGAAAGGAACACACTTCAAAAAGATGGGAATCACAGTTCAGGGAGCACTGGCAGGATGGGGGAGGGGCACTGGCATGACGAGGGCTACCGGCAGGATTAGGGGTACCGGCAGGATTAGGGGGGCACTGACAGGATTGGGGGGCACTGGCAGGATGGAGGGCGACAGGCAGGATGAGGGGCACTGCAGGATTAGGGGGGCACTGGCAGGTTGGGCTGGGGGGCAGCTGGCAGACTAATAGAAGAGAGAATATGAACTCATGTTGGGCTTCACAGGGAAATAAACTGTCACAACAATGAAGAGAGAGAGAGAGAGAGAGAGAGAGAGAGAGAGAGAGAGAGAGAGAGAGAGAGAGAGAGAGAGAGAGAGAGAACACTAAAGGCAAAATATTTCATCACTGATTCTAGAATATCTTCAGATAAAAAAAGAATTCAGTGAAATTATAATAAATTGCACATGGTAATTTTTGCAAAAGATATGTTAAAAACCTTCACCTCTGAGGAGTATCTTTTTGCTTCATGCCTGTGTTGATGTTCTGCTACATTTGCCACAGTGCCAGCCAACTGATAGAGGTCTTGTTCCATGGGAGCTCCCATGAAGTTCAGCATGGGGGGCTCCCAGCCACTGCGGAACCGGGGGACATACGGTGCAATAAACTGTTCTTTTGGCCACTCTGCTCTATAGAAGGACATTAAGATGTACAAAAAATAAAATTAAGAAACGTATTCATGCTCAAGATTATCTGTAGTAAGGATAGCTAAAAAAAAAAAACAACACACAAACACAAATGCATAAAACAACAAAAATGGTGCATAGCTAATCTGCTTTCCCTTCACCAAAAAAGGGAAAGTAAACATCTTCATCTCATATTTAATACAAATAAAATGAAAGGAAGATTGAATTCTGCTTCATTACCTGTACTTACACTATGCCTCAAATCCCCATGCATTCAACTTTTAAACATGGGTATATGTGTTCGAAAAATTGGGAAGGGACCGTGAAACCAGAAATGTGCTAAGTATTTAGAACATAAACTTCTCTAGTATCTGAAGTAGCTTCAGATCGTCATCTTTCCCTTCTTTGCCCTCCCATCATCTGAAACCTCCTAATATTAGATATATTTTTCAAAAGAGAAACACCAGAGAATGTTCTTAAGGTTTATGACTTTTTTAAGTTACGAAGTCCCCCAAAACAAAACATTGCTGATTTTGTAAATTAAATGTATCAACTACATTTTAATGAGTAAAATCAAGTTAGGACTAATCTGTAATTATCATAATTATCCATTCATTTTTTAATGACTTTGAAGTGACACTTATCTCTACAAGCCCCTAATCACTCATGAACCATGAAAATAACTAGGATAGAAATTATAGCTTCATTTCTGCTAAAATTTGTTTATCTTTCACACCTGATTTAATTCTTCAGATTATATTCCTACTATAATGAAATTAGCCATTGCATTCAGATTATTATGTAGCTTCATGATTATTTTTATCTTTATGAGTTTTTAAGTCAGTGTATTCATTCCCTAATACTCTTAGAAATTAAAATAGCTTGTTCAGGCTTATCATAAAATCATAATACACATAAAGCTAGTAGGTGTAAGAAATCTATTTTATGAGTTTTTACATAATATGACATACACATAGCATGATACAGGGTGTTATATTAATATTAGAGGCCTGGTGTGTGCACAGATTCGTGCACCAGTGGGGTCCCTCAGCCTGGCCTGTGGTGACTGGGCCTAAACCAGCAGTCAGGCAATCCCTAAGGGCTCCCAGATTGCGAGAGGGCGCAGGCCAGGCTGAAGGAAACCACCCTCCCCTAGCACGAATCCGTGCACCTGGCCTCTAGTATTTTCAATATAAAAACAACTGCAGTGCTTTTAAAAAGCTTTCTGCTTGGTAAAACATTTAACATGTAAACCATATCCTAATACAAGCAGATGCCAAAGTCCAAATGGTTTGGATTTTAAGAATGGTTTATATGTTTCAATTGAAAAAACAAAATAGTGCCATTACTTTTAAGCTAACCCTTTCAAAAGCACTAGGAAGCCCAACTGGTTTGGCTCAGTGGATAGAGCGTCAGCTTGCAAACTGAGGGATCCCAGGTTCGATTCCGGTCAAGGGCATGTAACGTGGTTGCGGGCACATCCCCCAGCCAGGCGTGTACAGGAGGCAGCCAATTGATGTTTCTCTCTCATCAATGTTTCTAACTCTCTATCCCTCCTCCTTCCTCTCTGTAAAAAGTCAATAAAATATATATTGTTTTAAAAAGCACATTAGGAAGACAAGCTTGTAAGTCATCATAGTGAGTGATTCCCTCCCTCAAGTATTGAGAGAAATAAAAAGACTTTGAAAGCTCCAGCTGGTTTGGCTCAGTGGGTAAAGCATTAGCCTGTGGACGGAACCATCCTAGGTTTGATTCTGATCAAGGGCATGTGACTGGTTGCAGGCTCAATCCCCAGAGGGGTGCGTGCAGGAGGCAGCCAATCAATGATTCTCTCTCAACATTGATGTTTCTATCTCTTGCTCCCTCTCCCTTCCTCTATGAACCAAAAAATATTTTTTTAAACTTGGAAAAATAAGGAAAGCAAAAATTATTTATCTATGTATAGTGAAGAGAAACATTTTTATAACTTGCTTTGCTCAGCAAACTTGAACACTGCAATTGTTAATGACCTGTTTTCCACAATAATTTTATTGACAAGATACAATTCTTAAAATTACTCCCTCCTCCTTTTCATTTCCACACCACAATTCTAGTCCTGGATCTGACTTTAGGTGGTAAACACACAATGCAATATATAGAGGATATATTATAGAATTGTACAACTGAAACCTATATAAATCTATAAAATTTTATTAACCAATATCACCCCAATACATTTAATAGCAATTTTTAAAAAATAATGAACTACAGTATTATCATCCAAAAGGGCCTCTTTGCCTCTAGTTACTTATGTCCTTGTTTTTATTAAACTCAACTACAAGAATGATCTTTCTAAAAACACGTATGTGTTTATATCACATTCCAGTTCACGAAGTTATCGGTTCTCCACAGCCTATAGAGCCTTGCTCCAACTCCAAAGCATGGCACTGAGAGCCTTCATAAGCCAGTCCTGCTCATTTCTGTTTGCCAAATTTAACACCACTCCTCCTCCCTATGCTCCACAATCCCCTGCTACCCAAAGTTTATGTTCTAGTTAAACACATATTCATACTTCAATCTACTGCTTCATGCCTTCCCTCGAGCTTCTCTCTCTACTGGGAAAGTCCTTTCTCTGCTCTGAATGTGGAAATCCTATCCATCCTTCTGACAGGCAGCTTAGAGAAATAATTATGAACACTGACTATAGGGCCAAATTGCCTAGGTTCAAATCCCAGCTCTACCACGTATGAGTTGTTTGCCTTTGGGCAAATAAGTTTATCTCTCTATGCCTCAATTTCTTAATCTGTAAAATGGGAATAATAACATATCTGTGTGAAGTGAACGAAAGAGTGACTAGCAAACTCTTGGGTAATGTGTAGGTCTATATAGAAATATGCATCTCTCTACTTAATAGTTTTAGCTATTGATTTTAAATGCTAGCTCTTCTTTGAACACTAACTACCCTCCTCTCTAAATCCTCTTCCTGACCGTTCCACCTTGCCAACCAATAGCAGTTTGTTTATGAGTCACTTTGGCATTTATCATGCCTTGTATTCCTCTATGTTCTCCCCCAGACTTTTAGCCTTTCATGGGTTTTTATCTGTAACACCTAGTCTTCATACATAGAAGGTTAAATAAATGTCTTGTTAGATCAATGCAATAAACAAAGAACAATACTTAAAATATTATAGGTATTAGATATACCTATTCATGTTTACCTGGCTTTCATCCAAGTTTCTCCCAATGACTTCCACAGCTGTCTTTCATCTGTATTGACAGTATAATTTAAGAAATCAATTGTATCTTTAGTCAATAGGGGGCTGAGTACTGAACTGGCTAGTTCAGGACCTCCTGTTGCCTGCACCACCTAAAAACACAATACATCATTTTTTAGCAAGATGATGACGATATTTGTATAATTTCAAAAGCCATGCCAAAACAAGCACTGGTTTTACAAACTCAAATTAACTTTTGATGTTGAGCAATGCACTACTGAATGAAAAACAGCTTGCCAGATAATCTGTCCAGACTGATGGTGACTAATAAGCTAAAATGAAAAGTTAATAATTAAACAGCTTTCACAGGCTCTGTATATTGGCTGCATATCACTCACTGTACTTTACTTGGAAAATACTAATATCTTTATAGAGAATTCTAAGTCAGATGGTTAACCAACTCTGCTTTTTGGTGTGATTTTTTTTGTTTTGTTCTGTTTTAAAAAAGATGATCTTCATTGAAAATCTATTATGTCAAACTTGAAAAATATGGCTATAGAAAGGAAGACTATGCTCAACTGACAGTCTGTGGCTGTGCCTACAAAGATGTACAAAATAAAAGGACCTAAAGAGAAAAGCAAAAGGATGAGAAATGGGACTCTGAATCTATGTATTTTCTCCCGGAATTTAATCCAAGGAAATTGTCCTGACTTGAAATGGGTAATTTAATGACTGGCACAAACAAATGAACAGATGTAACTCCCTGATAAACAAAGTGATGATAAGAGTATCTCTGAAAACTGTTCCATATTTACTTCTCAGGGGCTATTTCCTGGCTAAAGAATGGCAGTTATTATCTCCTGGAGCAGAAACCTGAGCCCTTTTATAGAAATCTCACCTTCCAGAGATGTGGCACAAGAAGGAAGAAATGTGCTTTGGAATTGTGCCAGACTAACAGTCACCTTTTCCCCAGTCATCCAGGTGTTCCGAGCCCACTGTGCTGTGCAGACCACCTCTGTGTATCTGACACGCTGCTTCCCAGCCTCCCAGAAGGCCCTCCTCCATCATCGGGTACCACCTCTGCTGGAAAGCCCTTCTAAACTACACAGTGTACCTCTGATGCACCTCTATGTCCCCAAAATAACTTATGCATATTAGTAACAAATTACATTATAGCTTATGGCTTATTTTTTAGTTTCTGCTCCCTTGAGGACTTAGACTAAGACTTACCTGATTTTGAATTGCAACAGACATAGCGTTATGGGAATAAAGAAAAAATGAAGGATAAGGGAGGTGGGCTCTTACTGAGAACAAAATCTACCTTGACAACTGGCACAGTCATTATTTATTTCCAAGCCTTATAGTACTTTCAGTAAATACATAAAGATGACTATAAGGGAAAAGTAAAGAGTAAAAGAGTAGAGGAATATAAAAATCTTTGTTTTCACAGAGGGAAGAGGGAATAAAACTAAAGCAGGTAAATAAAAGGCTATGGGCCAAAGTTCCCTCTCAAGAATGTGAGTTGGCATGTGAGCATGCATGTGTGCTGTGGATATGCTTGTGTACAGACACTGAGGGCACAGGTTTAAACTCCAAGGTGTAAAGCCTCTAGACTTCGTCTGGCTATAAGTCAGACCCGAATAAATATCCCTTCTCATCTCCACAAGAAATGTCTGGGCTCCATAGGCAGAACACTAAATGGAGTAACAGAAATATGATTGGGAAGACCATTAACAAGGAGTCGCTTCTGAGAAAAAAATAAAATAAAATATATAAATGTTTTCAGATACCTAGCCTAATTAGAAAGATTACATTTTGTATGTTATGGAAACTAGTCCCTTTATTTTATATTATTTTATATTCCTACTTTGTGTAATGACTCAATATCTGCTTATAATTTGTGAAAGTGTGAAATAAATGAGAGAAGGTGGCAAAACTGCATCATGAACAATACTTCCTTATACTCAAACTGAGATAGTATCAAATGTGTTAAAGAATACAGAATACAAATTTTGTTAGTGAGCTAGAATCAGTTTCTTTGCATATGAATGGCCTTCTAATTTTAAAAATGCTTATACAGCAAGAATTATTCAACTATAAATAGACAAGTAGAAACCTGATGCTCTCTATATAGCAGCAACATAGGGAAGCATTCATAAATCACTGACGTAGCCTTGGACTTTCATCTTCTAATCTCTAATTGCCCAATTCTGACTTCATGCTGATAATGTTACTTTCCTGTCTGTGAATATCCATTTCATCGTCTACATCAGATCTTGTCTAGTTACCCTTGGTAAAAGAAGAAAGTGATTTATTCCTTTTTATTAATTGGATTCTCTTTTTCCCTCTTTTCTTCCCTAACATTCAAGTAAAAACTGTGAGAAATGCTGAATTTGCTCCATTTTTTTTTAATAAAGATTAAAGAATTTAATGACCATAGTCTTTATATAGTCTAAATAAAAAATAGTGACATGTATATGATTCATATAGTTACTATTCTTACTCTTCACAAAAAAAAAAAAATCACAGGAGCAGTACACAAAGCAACACTAACAGTTACTATTGCTACTGTCATTGTTTGCTCTTTGACGGTAAATCTCTCACAGTCCCTCTAACATTCCTGCCTTTGCCCCCAAATAGGAAACTCTGTCCTCCTGAAAGTTTTTACAAGAGGTTCTGCCTTCTTTCCACTTTGCTCTCATTTGTCTTCCCCACAAAGAGGGGACTTTTGGAATTATAGAAAAGGGTGATTTGTAGCCCCGTTTCCTTAGGATCTGTCTTCGCGTGAGGCCAATTGCTCCATCTGCTTCCTATTGCCATGCTTTTTGAAGCTTCAGCACTTTCCTCTGTGCACCCTTAAATATTATCCCAGCTCATTCTGCCAGCTCTCCTGCAGAACAAAGGCATTGTACATGAAGCCAGCTTGGAGAACCCGCTGCTATACTATTCGTAAATATGAGAAATATAAAATGGGAAGGGAAGTGCATTACTGTGCCCACTTCATTAAATGTATAGGAAAGAGCACACCTGTGTATTAAAAATCTAGAAAATAAAGATGTGTATCTTGTATCCTGGCCTATTACACAAGTGGTATAACTTTTTGTTGGATAACATTCCAGCTGCTTCACAAAGGGAATTGTTCCCAATACACCAGTTGTTAGCTTCAAAATTATACCTCATTCAAAATATACATGTGGAGAAGGAAGTTTTCTCGAGGGTTAGTGTGTGTGTGTGTGTGTGTGTGTGTGTGTGTGTGTGTGTGTGTGGTAATATGTATGTACTTCCTCCAAAACCTCATTTCACCCAGGCCAAAGACTGCCAACTGTACCCTAGTGTCCCTTCTCCTCCACTTCTCCTAGAAGAAGCCTCTACATTTTAAATGGACACAGAGCCATTCAATGGAAACTTTATTGCTTTAGTGTTAAATGTGGCCCCATGAGGAAGTTCAGGCCAAATGGATAATAGCAAAAATTATCTGTCTAAGCTCAAAGTTACTCTTTAAAGACAAAGTTGTCTTTGCCTTTGTACTGCTATTACAAGGACAAGGCGTTAAATGAGCTACCACTCTAGATATCTATAATAATAAAAGCATAATATGCAATTAGACTAGACGTCCTTCTGGACGAAGCCAGGGCTGCAAGGGAAGCCTGGGTCCCGGGTGCCAGAGGGAAACCGGTGCCGTTAGCCAGAGGAAAGAAGGCCTACTCTTGCACGAATTTCATGCATCGGGCCTCTACTCTAACATAATTGCTCAATTCTTACTCTTGAAATCATTTTCTTCCTTTGACTTCTAGAATTCCACAATATTCTTATGTTTCTTCTCCTGACTCACTATGTAGATGGTCCTCAAATTTATATCCCTAGGCCTGATTTCTCCACTGAACTCCACATTCAAATATTCAACTACCAGTTCAAGTTTTTCCATCTGTATATAACTCAATTTTCACCTAAAACTGAATTCCTTATCTTCCTCCAAAACCCCATTTCACCCAGTCTATACCAATTCAGTTAATAATCAGTCCATCTTCCCATTCAGGCTAAAAATTCTTGGGTCTTGCACAGAACATCTAATCTACTAGCAGATCTTGTTGCTTCCATGGTTTATAACCAAAATCTGACTTTTTCTCATCACCTTTGATGTTACCTGGTCCAAACACCATGATCTCTTGTCTGCATTATTTTAACAGCCATCTCAGTCTTTTCTTCCCCCAAATTTCTAATCATTCAGAAAGAGCAATTCTTTCTTTTTCTGATGAAAACTTTCCAAAAATGTTAAAGGTTTTACAATCACCTAAAAGGACCAACATCGATTTTCTGCCTGTTAATTTGCTGACCTCCTCCCTTACTCTGTTCCAATTACAAAACCAATATATTCCGAGAACATGATTTGCATATTATCACCTATGAGCATTTATATTAGCTATTCTCTGCCTGCAATTTTCTTTCTGCAGAAATCCATGTGACTTATTCCTTGCTTTGTTGGCTCAAATGACACTTTTTCAGTGAGTTGTTCCCTTAGCCAACCCTAATCAAAAATTGTAGCGTGCACGCATACATGCACACACACGCACACACATGCACGCACACAGGCACCTGAAACACTCCCTGTTCACCTTCCTTACTGTATTTTTTCACATAGCATTTACTTTTAATGAGCTGTATTAGTTACGAATTTATTTAGGTTATGGTTTATTCTTCCATACTAAAATATAAGTTCTGAGAGGATAAAAATTTATGTCTGTTTTGTTCTTTATGAGCTACTAAGAATGCCAAGCACATAGCAGGCTGTCAATTCGTATTTATTAAATAAATAAACAAACAAAAAAAACCCAAATGATTGACTCAGAGACAACTGAGGAGATAGAAGAAGACCTCAATGAAAAGAATCTGGGTCTCTGAATAATATCATGGAGAAAAGCCATCCATACAGCCCCAGACTCCTCATGCCTAGCCTATTGTGCGACAATTAGAAAAATTTCTATATTGCTCAAGTAATTTGTATCACACTAGTATCTACTGAAACACTAGTTTCCAATAAACCTCCTTCTTTTCATTCCCCTAGATCTGTCAGAGACAACAGTTTCCTCAGGTATAAGTAAGTGAAATACATGGTTTCTAAGATTCTTTTAAACTCTCAAATTTCACATTCTCCATGTTTACACAGATAATGAGGTAATAAAGAAAAACTGTCTATGTAACCTAACAGACACTTGGGTTCAAAACATACTAAGAATGATTACTTTCTTAAATTTATAAAATCTTACCATATGTAATGGAGTAAATAAAAAGTGAACCAAATCTGTAGCACTGGGATTCTGAATATGGGACTTCAATTTGGCCTGTAACATTAAGAGAATAGACAAACATATTAATTACTATGATGTAACTGACCAAAAGACAGACATGTGAAAATGACCCAGATGAAGAGTTCTTTATTACTAGATTCATTTTTAGTATATTAATTAGCATGGGTGAGTCAGATTAGGAAAATTTACTTTTAAAAAAAGGAGTCATTCTTTTTTGATCAAGTCTCTTAGATGATCATATTTTATAATCTGTTGTTCCAATTAAAGGCAAATAAAAACCCATATAAAAATCTACAAGAATAATTTTATCTCTTAATTTAATTAGGAACATCCTGACTAGACTTTGATCTCTTTTATTTATTTCTTTTAACTATAAATAAATAAATTTCACTTACTAGAAGGTTAAATCCATGTTTAAACTTTTGAAAACAGTCAATAAATTCATCGGGAGGTGGAGGTTTTGCCCGCAGAGTTAAAACACCCTCTAAAGGAATAAGTAGAAGGAGGAGTAGATGAGAGCAAATTATCAAAACAAAACAAAACAAACAAAAAACAACACACAACCAAAACATAAAATGAAAAACAAATTTTTAAAGACCATATTTATGTCTGTTACGTTTGATAATCACACCAGGCTATCATGCTACCTAGGTACCTACCAAATCTCATAGTCTGACTATAACAAAGTAAGATGACCCAACATTTGAAATGGATTCCTCTACTGTTTAGCACCACAAAATCCTCATTTGATTCCACTAATTTTAACTGTAGCACTTCTAAATGGCAGTCATTGTGCTTGTCGTTGTGAAGACTATAAAAATGTATAATTATAAGCCCTGCTCTTAAGGGCCTTAAAATGTAAAAGAAGACATGAATGAGATAAATAACAAAGATGTGCCAACTAAGTGCTATTAGGAAAACTCTGCAGCTGGTTGGGAGGCAGAGAAAAGTATACCAAAGAGATGTTTTATGGGGAAAGCAGCTTTGAAGATGGGATTTGAAAGTTTTGTTCCAGACAGAATAAGCAAAAACATGGGAAAAAGGAAACTGAATGTATATGAAATAACAAACAATAAAGTAGAGAAACATGAGAATAGAAAAGTAGATCAGGTTAGATTGTGAATGACCTTGACTGCCAGGGTGAGTGAGGGGTGGACTTAAGCAACAGAACATGGACTTAACATGCTTTTTAGCAGAGAATGAAGTGACTATCCTAGTGCTTTAAGGCAACTATCCTCATAGAGTAAAACTAGAGATTTGAAAACTGCTTAGAAAAGCTGGGTAAAAATGATAACAGCTTGAAGCACATTCTGTTTATGAAAATGAAAAGGGGAAAAAATGGATAAAAGAAACACTGAAAAAATTAAGATGATATTGGTTACCAACTACAGAATGGAGTCAAAGAGGAATCTGTGGTGTTGAATCTCAGTGATCAAGAGAATAGTATACCCTTCAAAGAATACAGGAGCACTAAGTGATTTGAGACACCAGGAAATAATAATACTGAATTTCAGAATATACAAGGTGGTTCAAAAGTAGGTTTATAGCTGTCAGTATAGGAAACAGAGATTATTCTTGTATTATTATTTATTAACCATTTTCTTATTTTCTATACAAATAACTGTAAACATACTTCTGGCCCACCCTGTTTAGAGGTGAGGTACTTCCAGATAGTCACATCTGGAAGACAAGTCTACAGCTCATGGTTACGATATAGATATGAGCTAGAGAAAGATCTGGAAGTCACAAGAAATGAAAGGGATATTTATTTACTATTTTTTTATATATTTGTTCCATAATTATAATTTTATATTATTTTGGCACTATTTTAAATAGCTTAACTACAGCATACTAAAAAACTATTTGTATGTTATTTGTATACGACCTGAATATACTATTTGGAGCTTTGTGATAAAAAAAAATAAATAAATAAATAAAAAAATTCAAATCATTGACACTTGTATCTGTTTTAATGAGAAAAGTTAATTCTTTTATTTAACAAAATAAAGAGGTTCTATATTTATAATAAAATAAATCCAAATATGGAAGAATAGAGCTATAACTTCGCTTAACAGGTATTAATTTTATAATCACTACAAACACACAGCCACTACCTGAACCCCAGTCTGTGACTTAAGTAAAGTACCCTAGAGTCTTTCTTTACTGTAGCTAACTTGGAACCAGTCTGGACCCTTTCCTGGGCTCGTCTGCATCTCTGCCTAAAGCTCTGGTGCTCTCCCAGAACTAAAAGAGGGCCCTTGGTTCACTGTCAGTATAATTGTGCTGAGCTCTTCACAAGGGCAAAAACAGCCTACCACTGAATTCTGATTGGACTTTAGAAGACAAAGAATATCTCTGTACATATACCATTGCCCCGCCCCCCATACATGCCCTCCCTCCCCAGAGTTTTGTGTCCATTGGGTGAACTTATATGCATTTATACAAGTCCTTCGGTTCATCTCTTATCTTCCTCAGATCTATGTTCAGAGATAATAATTTAATTTAAAAAAAATAAAGAAAGAAAGAAGACAAAGAATATCAAACTTACCTCCTGGTCCTTTCCTTTTACCTTTCTTAGTTTTCTTCCTTTTAGAAAGCTCAGAAAATGCTTCAGCTGCTTTTTGGAGTTTTGTGATAAAAAATTCAATGTCATCCAAAATATGGTTTAAGATTTGCTAAAATTAGAAATTATAGAATTAAATATAAAATAAAACTATTTTTGCCTTGGCTATACATAGTCAGTAAAGAAAATTTGGGAAGTTATTAAAAAGAAAGAAACACTTCCTACATCCAAATTTCAAGTTTATCATTAATTCTAAGGATTGAACTAAATATGCCTGTGGCCAAAGTGTGACATTTATATTTTTTGTTAGCTTAATTTTGCTCTATTTTCAATATCATGAAGAAAGCATTCACAATATCTATTCAGAACATTAATTATTTTCAATTACTCTAATTTTCTCCTAGTATTCTCCTACATAAAGTTAGGGGGAAATAATTCTAAGAAATATTTTGTTACACATGCACTGAGCATTTTTGTTTTTCTAATAAGTGTCTCAATAAAGCACCAAGAATATTATTTCATGGAATTAAAGGTATATAAAATGTGATAACCTAAGAAAGACATAATCTACAATTATAAGCATTAAAAAGAGTTTCTACATTGTGAAATAAAATTCATAATGAACTATGCTTTCAGGGCTCATCAAATCAATTTTGATTATCATATATAGTATAAATTTTAGTTGACTTTCTCTAGTTTGTGTAAAACTTGACATTCTTCTAATTCAAGACTAGACACTGGTATTAAATGAACTTTTTAGTATAATTAGTAATAGTGCGATGTAAAAATTAAATTCCAAACATCAAATTCCTATTTGTTTACAAACTGAACATGAGTGTAGTATAAAAAGTAATTATATTGACATCATATTTTATGATTATATCACAGGGCACAATCATTCTGCAAGTAAATTATTATGGAGAAATAAATATAGCCTTATCCTTTATGAGAAATTAATACTGATGTATCTACTCTTAAAATGTCATTTAACTTTTATCTTTCAGGCATTATAAAATAAAGGATAAAGGATAATAAGACATATTAAGGATATGTCTTATCATCCTTTAATTTTCAATAAAGGATAATAAGACATATTAAAAATACTTCAATTATAAATTACAAACTATGAAAAAACAAAAGCACCTCAAATCGATCATTCCATTAAAATCCCTTTGTAAGCTAGTTAATATGTTAGATTTACAATAAAATAAATTGTAAATATTTTATTCTGTCACTAATTAATGATTTGCATAAAAATCTTCTATATATTGCCAAAAAGACAAAAAAAAAATAGTTGAGAAAAAAAATTCAAAGGGCACAGCGACCAGTAGAAAGAGAAAATACAGTTTCCACAAAATGTCTTTATTGAATCAACTTCATTTTCCTCGCAAATATTTCTCCTCTCTTAAAACAAACGCAGGGGTCTAAGATGACGCTTGCTTACCACATCTCGGTCAATTCGGGCCGCCATCATCTCAGGTGTTTCTTCATGCCCGTGATACTGCCTTAGCTTCTCAACTAGAGAAAGGAGAATCACAGCTCTTTCAACCTGCTGCTTAAGTAATACCATATAGGCAATTAGACATTGGCTAGAAAATTGACTAGGTCCAAAATCAAAACTCCGCTCGCCATGTACACAGGCACCTTTGCCACAACAGAAGCACTTGGGCAGAGCTGAAGCACTTGCTTTCAGCCTGTATGTTGATTTTACCTTGTAATTTCCCCGCTCGTCTCCCTCTTGCCTGTATCAGCTGCCTATGAAATCAACCCTAATTCAGCATCCTAGAATTCCCACCCAAGAAATATAAACCCACATTTATTTATGTCATAAATAATGGTCAATTAATTCTAATGCAACAGAGCTTGTAATTTTCATATAAATTCCAACATTGTGATTTCAATAAGCTGTGGGGGTTCTGAGAGTAAAGTGGTTTTTTAAATTATTATTTTCACTAAACTTAAAACCCACAATGTTGGGCTCATTAATTTTAAGCTCTGTGCTTTAAAAGTATAAATACTTACAGAAATTTTCAAATTAAAGAGTAAATTTCTTAAAAGCATTCAAACTGTTAAGTTAGTTCATTTGGCTAAAGTATGATATTAATCATAAGGTCATTATCATGAACTCATTCCTGATATGAGTAGGTTAAAACTACCACTGACACAGATACTTGTACAAATATTTCATAGTATTTGAAATGGAAAATAAAAATGTATGGATGAAACAGGAAAAATGTATCATCACCAATGGAAATACAACTCTTGATATATCACTGTGACTCATGATGTTTGATGGAGAGCTACAAAAAATATTGAAAATTTGATACTGCTGTCTCTTTTAGGCCTAACTTTTACTATAAATGGAATACTCATTAAAAAAGAAAAAGAAAGAAGAAATCCCTTAGTCTTATGAAACATAATTTGTGGCTATTAAGGAGCTTAAGATAATGAGAACTTATATGTATAAAATCTTGCCAGTGAACTGCTATTTTACCTGTGGGTAGCTACTATCTTCCTATAGCATATACTTCAGAAAGCAGCATTTTGTACTTGAAATAAAGCTATGAGGAACTCCAGATAAGTGAGATGGGAGGCTGAGGTAAGGGAGAGATGTAGCATTTCTCAGATTTTTTCAGGGTCTGTGGCAACCCCACTGCCACTGTCTCTCTATTCTACAAAGATTACTTCAGGCAGTCAGGGGTAGAGCTACCTCAAGGATTCAAAGGAATTTTTCAAATTGAGTCAACCAGAGCCTTCAGAGGGAACAGAAAGATATCCTTTTAAGGGTCATTCCAACTATTAATAAAAACTGGCTGGTATTGCTCAGTGGTTGAGCACCGACCTATGAACCAGGAGGTCGAGGTTCAATTCCCATCAAGGACACATGCCTGGGTTATAGCTAGATTCCCAGTAGGGGGTGTGCAGGAAGCAGCCAATCAATAATTCTCATTATTGATGCTTCAATCTCTCCCTCTCCTTTACTCTCTGAAATCAATAAAAATGTATCTAAAAAAACAAAAAACTGGCCTGAATCCAAACAGAAACTCACGTAAGTATTATGTTCTGCTTAGCCTAGTAGTAAATTAGTTCTGTAAACCTGATCTCATATAGATGAAGTTGCATAGAGTAATTTAGACAAAATCTAATGAGCCCAGGAACTAATGCGGTTAAATTTTCTTTTTGTTATAAATTAGGTTTTTACAGATGTTTTTTCAAGTTTATTCTTCCATGAAAACAATAGCAACAATCAAAATATCATAAATACACAAAAAATAGAAAACTATAAACTCCTATTTTTTAAATACATATATTTTTATTAATTTCAGAGAGGAAGGGAGAGGGAGAGAAAGAGAGAAACATCAGTGATGAGAAATAATCATTGATCAGCTGCCTCCTACATGCCCCACATTGGGGATTGAGCCTGTAGCCAGGTCATGTGCCCTGACTGGAAATCAATAAATTTCTAGTTTGTGTGTGTGTGTGTATGCCTAAGGACCAAATGACCAGTCGCTATGACATGCATTGACCACCAGGGGCCAGGTCGAGGGACCCAGCCATGCACCAATTCGTGCCTCTAGTGGGTATAATAATAACTCATGGGTTGCTGTAAGTCTGATAGCAGATAATGTCATTAACAGTATCTCGTTTGGTATAGTAAGCATAATTTGTGGTGGTTCTCTTTTTTACCAAGTTGAGATCATTTTATTTTCTGAAATGCTTTCCACTTTATTTAGATTTCTCTTCTCCTTAAAGTCATTTTCAGAGGTTTACACATAATCCCATTTACCAAATAGATGAAAGAAAGAAATTTTCAAAGCATCCATTTTTCAAAAATAAAGTAACAGAATTATTGCTTATTTTAACTTTATAACAGTTTCTATTTTTAGGAAATACATAAACTTCTATTAATTCATTTTTGTCTATAAGATTGTGCATAAAAAATTAGTTAGGATGCCCAGATGGTGTGGCTCTGTGGTTGAGCATCGACTTCTGAACCAGGAGTCAGGGTTTGATTCCTGGTAAGGCACATGCCCGGGTTTCAGGCTCAATCCCCAGTAGTGAGCTTGCAGGAAGCAGCTGATCAATGATTCTCTCTCATCACTGATGTTCCTATCTCTCCCACTTTCTAAAATCAATAAAAACATATTATAAAATAAAATAAAATAAACCTCATAGTCTCTTGTTTGGTATATACTCTATGACCATCCTTTTAATTGTTAGGAGAGTCAAACTTCCCACCTTTGATTGCATTAAAAATACTGTAATCCTAACACCTTATTTATTAAATGACTGGTCTGAATTCTCATGTACAATAATCTTATAGTGTTCAAGCTTAACATTCTTTTATCTAAGATTTAAATTTTTAAAACTAATCTCAAGCTTCAGCTCATAAATTAACTGCAGATTTTGAAAGCAAGAATTATGTCACAATCCCATGTAAATGTTCATTAAGTATCAATTCCTAGAAATACTCACAATCCCCTTGGTCAGCTGCCCAGGCAGACCAGGCTGCCACCCGACTTCTAACATCCACCTGGGTAACAGTCCCAGGGGGCACCGGGGCAGGAGCTCTGGGTGGAGGCGGTATACCAGGGTCTGCCTTGGAAATCATCCTAAAAACGGTGAAAACAAATTGAATTTTTACCAACTCTATTTCTATGACATCAATTCTCTCAGTGGATGGCCTTAGTTCTCTAACCTCAAGAAGACTATGTCAAGCAGCAGAACAGTAAGGATTTCCTAACTTTTTCTTATTACATATATTTGTAAACGTGTGGGAGGGAAAATTCAGAAAACTAGGTTCAACTTTTTAAAATTCAGCTGAAAACTACGTTTGACCTTTTTCTGGTCTCCTGTGATTTGGAAAGGCTGTGGACTAACTGTAGTCCTAATACCTATTTGGACTCCCTTAAGCCACCTTCCCCAAAATGCCACTCATATTTCATGGCAGAAGCCACATCAGAGACAGACTGGGAACATAGACAGAAACTGCTCACATGCAACAAACGTGGGAGGCAAAGGGGTTGAGATTACAGATTGTAATCTGTAAACTCTACCTTCATTGAAAGTAATTCTTATAAATCTTTAGAGAAAAAAAAGACTTAAAGACAAATCAATTCTAACCCTTAGTTCCCGTTACTGTTTTTTACCTCAGGGCATCAGGCCGCCTCTTCTGCTTCCCTCCTTTGCTGTCGCTGATTGCACTTTCAATATCTTCAGTAATTAGGTTTGCCTGCAATGAAAGACAAGTTACCTCATAGGTTATAGATGTTCTTTTCTTGATATGCAGGTTAAAACAGAAAAAGAAGTTATGTTCTCTGCCTGAATCAATGAGTATCTTGATGCAAAATAAAAGTGGGTGTTATTTTTTTTAATCTGCTTTCAAAGCACATGCTTCCTTTTGATGGTGAACTTTATAATGACAAGAGCTAAAAACTGAAGGAATTTTAAAATAGTGTTTAAAATTTTTAAATATTGTTTCTTTTAGTTTAAAAACAACTATCTTTGCACGACAAATAGAAAAAAAATTGCCTATGCTAAAAGTATAATCATATGCTAAAAATGTAAGTAGGTAGCCCTAGCTGCTTTGGCTCAGTAGATAGAGCATCAGCCCATGGACTGGGGAGGCCTCGGTTTGATTCCAATCTAGGGCATATACCTCGGTTACAGGCTCCATCTCAGTCCTTGTCTGGACTCCATGCAGGAGGCAACCAATCAATGTGTCTCACATCAATGTCTCTCTTTTCTCTATCTCTCCCCCTCTCTTCCAATCTTTCTAAAAATCAATGGAAAAATATCCTTGGGTAAGGACTAACAAAAAATAACAAAAAGGGAAGTATAACTAGGTAAACATCTTGCTGAGAAGAAATGAAGGTGTTAGAAGCAAACATAAGTATAAAGTTCCTTCCTTTCTCATCCTCAGTATCCACTGGGCACTCATTCACCCACTGGGACAGATCACTCTGTCCCAGCAGAGCTGCTCTTAGTGTAGAGCAAAGCCACTATAATCACAGATGACCCCAATACTAGGTTATATCCTTTTTGATAACCACTTTATTTTATCTTTTGAGGTAGAAATTAACATTCTCTAAACAATTAACTTATTTGATTCCGTTTTCTTGGGAATTAATATGAGATTAGGTGTAAAGAAATTTATTTTGTCTGATTGTGATGTTTATTTATAGCCAATGATTATTATTGTGTATTAGACTCTTGCTGGGGTGTATCCATCTACTATTTTTGTTCCTTGTTATTCTCTATAATTATGTATGTTTTTCTCAAATATGTATATAGAAAATATTCTTTTGCCATAAGCACGGGTGATCATAAAATTATAGAGCTAAAAGGACACTTAAAGATTATCTAATCTGTTCTTCTTGCTTTATAACGAAGGAAACTAAAGAATACTCCTTTGATGGTGTGGTCAAGGTCATTGCTAGTTAAATGAGAGTGCTAAAGCAACCCAGTCCAGTGTCATTTTCAGAAGAACATCCTAATTTCAGGAAGAGACTGCAGAAACGATGCCGAAGGCTTCCTGTTATGGGGGAGGTTAAAACTGAAGATGCCTAGAAACCTGCACTTCCCATATGGGGTGATTTCTAAGAATAATTTTACTACAGACGCGGGCAGGAACGTTATAAAAGTCCATAACAAAGAAAGTTTAAAGTTCAAAAGTGATACTGCAAGGTGATCCATATAAAAGAAACCACATCATATTTCACTGTATTAATATTTTCAAGAGTGCCAGAGGAAAAAGTCTCATATGTTGAATATGGCACCAGTGAGTAAATGCATTTAGCTACAGAGTGGTACTTGAGCTTTTAATTAGGACACACAGTGTTCAATACATAGTTTCAAACCCATCAATACCACATCTCTATCAAATAAAGCAAGCTCTTTATTCTTAAAAGTGAAATCTAGAAAACATTAGTGAAATCCAACACAATAACTCAGTTTCCGGAGGGGTTTCTGGAACAATGAGGCAAACACCAGATGTGAAATGTCTTTTAGGTTAGTCCTCTGCTTTTAAAATGTTTAAATTAACTTTCACTAGATTTTCAAAGCTAAATAGTCACTTTAATACTTACTGATTTAAATCCAACCTTGCAGAATTTTTAATATATTTTATGACTTTCCAAAGGCACTATACAAAAATCTGATAAAATATTTCATATAGAAATTACCTAAATGCCACAGTTCTTTTAAGGTAAGATTTTTAGAAAAGCATCCATGACATCAATTGAAATAGGAATAAAATTATAAAATATACTACTTCCAGTCAATCTTAATTTATCAATGTCATTATATTTTAATGTCAAAGAAGTAGAGAAAATATCAAGTGTCACTTTATGCCAATCTCTCAGCATTTCTCTATAAGATCAAAATTACCTTATATTTTATAATATAGTGATGCGTCACTACTTTGGAAAAGTACCAATCAATTCAACCCAAAATAATTTCCCTTTTAGAGAAATCAATTTATGAAATAAAGATATTTAAGGCTCAGGATAGCTTTTAATGTCCAATAGATCATCACAAATTATAATTGCTTGAAAAGTACAGTGCACTGTGAAATACAAATCTTCAGGATATAGTTTGCTATTACTGATAACTACACTCAACTATTTTCACATTACTACTAGGGATTACAAATCTTGAGCAATTATTCAAATCACACAATTAAATGGGAAACTTTAAATCAATATCCTGGAAAATAATCCATGCTTTGTGGTTGGTGTTTAATAAAACAATACTGTGTGATTATTTATTGCCCATAAAGCATGATTTCTGTACAATCAATGTTTAATTATAAGTCCATGTCATTCTATGAAGAATTTAATATATTATCTATAGTTTTTAATAAATAGACCGCATCTTATTTTTTTAAATATCATTCTATCTCCTATTTATTTACCTGGGAACCATAAGGAAGACACTAAGGTATTGTTTTCCTTACAAAATTATAAGAAACTATGTAAATATCTAGTACCCACAAGCCACTTGATTAAAGTATATAACTCAAAAGCTGTCAGAACATCTGCGTAAAGGGAAAGAAAGTTCACAGTTCCTTTACCTTAATCTCATCACACTGGAAAAGATGAAGATCTGGCTTGTTCTGAGTTGGCTCTTTGCACACCAGAGCAAGAATTGAGTCATAGTTACAGGAGTGCATTACAGCTTGGCAGTGCTGGATTGTACTTAAAGGAAAATTCTCCAATTCATTCTATAAAGCAAAAATTGAATTTGCCTTAACTTTTTACTGTATATATAAAAATCTATTGTATATATAAAATCTAGGCATTTACAGATAATTTTTGCAGTGAACAAATCATATTGACTGAATATAAGTAAACACTTGTAGATATGAAGGATGAGTAGGTTAGGCCGAGCTGGATAATGGGTGGGCAAAAGAGCAACAAAAATGGAGATATTCAGTAGAGAAATGCAGCAATGCTCTTAATAAACAGAATATTGAATTTAGCATTCCTAATCTCAGATTATAAGGTAGAGATGGTACCTTTAACAAGAAAAAGAAAAGTAAACTGAGGGCTCTTCCCAAAAATAATTCATCATCTCACATGGTATTCTTTTCCCTCTGACTATTTAATGTGAGAATATTTTTTAACTTGAACACTCTATAGTCAGACATACAAATATGCATACATACATATATATATATATATACATACACATATATACATATAAATGTTAGGCTAAGTATAATATATCATTTGTATATTTTCAGTGAGTATCTCAAATGCAAAAACTCAGATATAAATAGAATCCAGAAAAAAATATAAAACAGGATCAGAAGGATCTCTGTAAGAAATACATTCTGCAAAATGATTAAAGCATTTGGTGTATAAGAGTGAATATTCTGTAAAATTTAAAGAATCACGCAAATAAAATATAAACACATTAAATAATTTCAGTACTTCTTAAAATAAATGAATTTTCTGCTCACAATTAGAATCCTATACTTAATGAGATATTTAAGGTGATTATCCTGACACTAATGGCTTTACACAAATTGTGAGTGGTGTCAGGATGTAATTGATGAGAGAAATCATGGTGTTTTTGGTTTTTTTTTTACATAAAATACAATATCCCTGATAACTAGAACACACACACACACACACACACACACACACACACACACAAAAAAAAAAAGCAAACCTTTTTTTATGGATGCCCATAGATATACATCACACCATAAATTTATGCTAAATCCTAATCCAAAATCCAGCAAATGTGAAAGAAATGCAGGTTCCATTAAAATAGAATGTAAAGTCTAAGCCATACTAGAAAGGTAATACATGCTCTTTCTTTCCTGAATGAAACTAAATAATATCCTTTCTTTATAATTACTTGAAACCACGAGGATCAGAGAAGCCCTCAGTAGCTCTTCTCTACAGTATACAATGGGTGAGATGAAAGGGCACATTTTACCCCCACTCCTATCAGAATATTCTAATGTGATCACAACAGTTATTTTCGTTATCTTAGAAGCTCAAATGTCATTAGATGACAGGGCTCAGAAAGTCCTCTTTTAAAAGCTCCAGCTACTTATCTGCCAGTGCTTGTGTGAAAAAGGTGCCTCCTATGGATCTGATGAAAAGTTGTTACACTTGCAACCTTTTCATCCCAATTCACTCATTTACCAGCATGTAATTCAGCCTAACATGTAATTAATCTATGCCATAAAGTATTATGCCCCACTGGGGCCTTATTTTAGATTGTGTATTTTTCCTCCCTTCTTCTATCTTATCATTTGTAATTTAAAGAAAAGAAAAAAAGAGTACACCTCTTACTCTAGTTTAAAAAACTGATTTTACATAAATAATGCACATATAGCATTTTTTTAAAAAAATCATTAACAAACGTATTTTATTTGGTCAAACATTCACACAATTTTGCAAACAATATGACCTAATGTAAGCATAAATATTTGTACAATTTTCTTTAAAACAATATAAACATTACAAACTTGCCTTTGATTCTAAATCAATTAGGCTCACAGCTCTGTCATCCACTTGAAGAATCATATCTTGAGTCCACACTTTGCCCTTCGCATCGAGCAATTTCAGCTTCCTTATCCCATCATCAACAGTTATCATAGCATCTTTCCGATCCAGAACAAAGGTAGTCAAGTGCTTATCATTGGCAAAAAGAAAAAATATTTGTAACACACACACAGTTTCTTAGTACACATTTTCCTAAAGAGAGCAAAGTTAACCTAATTGAAGTCAACTAGCAAAGAGGTGAGGGACAAACTAATTACTCAAGAACTTCATGGTTATTTTACTACGATAATAAAGTCAAACATGTTTCGAAGAATAGAGAAAATGATGCCTTGAATCATTAAATAGCTAAATCTGTTTAATATTGAGCAATGTGAAGCTACATAAACATGTCATAGAAACAAATTCTAAAAATCACCTCGCCCATTTTATTCCATGTTGTTATCTGAATGCTGGACAGTGTGCAAGCTGCATGGCAGCTTGAAAACTATACATACATAACTGAGAACAGCAACAGCAATACTAGACTGTAATGATGGTCAAACTTTCATCCTACTAAAACCACTTAATTAAACAAGGTTGAAATAGGCAGAAAATTAAAAATAAGAGCAATTAAAAAATCACTTCCCCCTTATACACTATTAGTGTGGCCACTATGTAAAACAGTAGGGAGGTTCCTCAAAATTAAGAATGGAATTACCTATGATCTAGATCTTCTACTTCTGGTATTCACCTGAAGCTATAAAAACACTAATTCAAAAAGATAAATGTACTCCTATGTTTACTACAGCCAAAATTTACAATAATCAAAATATGGAAATAACCAGTGAACATAGTCAGATGAATAAATAAAGGAGATGTGAGATATACCTTTACATATAGATATACATAGAATGTATGTGTGTATACATATACATACCACAGGCGTGCGCGCGCGCGCGCACACACACACACACACACACACACACACACACACACGATACAACATTACTTCACCATAAAAGAAGTTGAAATACTGCCACTGCGACATCATGAATGGACCTTGAGAGTATTGTGCTCAGTGAAATTAGTCAGCCAGAAAAGGACAAAATGGTATATAGAATGTACAACAAAAAAGAAACAAACAAAACAAAACAAGAACAAACTCACAGATACGGACAACAGATTGGTGGTTACAAGAGGCCAGGAGGTAGGAGGAGGGTGAAATGTATGGTGCCAAAGGGAAGCTAGACTTTTGGTGGTGAGTCCAATGTAGTGTATAGGGATGTCAGATTATAATGCTGTACACCTGAAACTTGTATTATTAACTAATGTTATCTCAACTTAAAAAAAATAAAATTTACTTCCCTACTTAAATATTTTCATAAATATATGCAAAGGACACCTAGATTCTAATTAAGAGCAAATATCTTCCAAGATAACAGAGGAAAAAATAAAAATTAAAAACACTGCTTATGTAGATCTAGTAATGACTTGTGATTAAAAATAAAAATAAAATTATCAAAGGCTTAATTCTAAGAAAATTATTTAATATAAAATAGAAGTCTTTGTCCTGTCTTTAACAGAAATTGGGCTGACAGTGATGAGTAGCAGTTTTAGTTTATTCTATATGAAAATAGACACCAGACTAACAAAATACTTTTACACTTAACATCTATTTTCCAAAAATCTAAAAAAAAAAAAAAAAGTCATCATAATATAGGATACATCACATAAATAAAATAAAACACAATTTTTATTGGTAATAAAAGAACCCTTAAAGGTTCATTCAAAATTTTAGCAAATGTCAAAAGCATCTTACTTCAACACGGTACTGGGATATATCTGATACACTGCTGATACTGTCACGTGCATAATTCTTCCTTTGTTCTGAAAAAGAAGTTTAAAAGATGTTATTTACCCACTAAGGCTGAAGTTCATATGTCAGTATCTTGTGGCCATCTCTAAAACCAGTCTATCTCACATATAAATACAGTAGTTGACAAGTCACCATTGGGTCTTATCTCTGAAAACACTCATACTTCACATTAATTGAAAAAGCTACCAGCAAGTTTAAGTGAAATGCATGAACAATTTTGCCCTATATAGATTTTCACAATACCAAATATAACAAGATTATTAAGATTGTAAAAACATAAGGTATTTTATCTAAAGGTTTTATTGATCAGGGACCTACTATTTGAGAAAAGGATGAAAAATGGTTTGTAAATTTTATCTGTTAGTACACTGAGAACAAAAAAGAACTATAAATACTGTCATAGATACTGTATTATATGAGTTAGACTATTAAAGCAATATGCACTGCAAAAAACATCTCCTTTCACAATATCCAAACTATGGAGAGTGTTAGAGGAGATTCAAAACATAATCCAATCATACTGATTGCCATTAAACTTTAACAATTTTCACACATCCACAGACACAAAGTGATACTTAGACTTGTAGATATAAGCTGTTAGAGAAAATAAGAAGCCAGGTAGAAAATTACTACACCAACTATTTTAAAAACAAAAATAAAACTTTACTTTTCTTTTATAAAATGCTGCAAAACCAAAATAAAATATAAAATATGTGAAGGCAATATTTTGCATTTGTTACTTTCCAATCAAGGAAGTTGCTTATTTGTAAATTCAAAGTTGCCTATTTCTTCTAAAGCATAATGCTATGATTTAAAAAATAACAAAAACAATTCTAAATGGGAACCAGATTTGTGATTCTAGCCTTGGCTCTGTCATGAAGTAGAGGACTAAACTTGGGCAAGACTCTTAACTCTGGGGCTCAGCACCCTTATTTAAAACAAAAGGGTTAAACAAGACCAAACCATAATACTCCTCCAGTATTAAACTTAACATACACATACACACACACACACACACACACACACACACACACACACTCCTTAGCTTTCCTAATAACCAAATTTTTTGGAATATAAACATGTTTATTTCAGTTACTATAGAAACCTTTAGCTCTTCCTACAATAGAAGTTGAAAGTTCTGCTAAATATAAAAGCAAATCAGATACAAAAATATAAAGTACATATATAAACTCAGAATGGTAACTTGTGGAATTATTTAAGAACTTCAATAAATTCTTGTTTCCTAATGCATATAAAACTAATTATCTTTTCATTTATATTTGCCTTAAAACTGAAATGAAAATATTCATATGCCTTATATTACATCACTAATATTATTCCAATATATTCTATTTTTGCTTTTGCAGCATTAAAGTTACTTAATAAAAACACACACACACTACAAAATTCAGTATCTGCTACCTTTCTTTTTTTGTTTGGCTGATGACCTGAAGAAGTATGATCCATCTGGTCCTACCAAAGTAATGTGATCAAAAAGAAAGATCTGGTTTCACCTTAAATTTTCTATTTCAATATGACAAAACATAAACCTTCACTTACATGACTATATTCTACATATTTTTAAAAGTGAACAAATATGATTTTTCTGATTGCTAGTTAAAGATTAATCAATGTGAGATGTTAACAAATGGATAAAAGTTGGAGAAAACATAACTTTTGAAATACAATAGGTAACTCAAGGACATATCTAAGAAAAGAACTTCTAGAAATAATCACTATTTCAGAATCACTGGCTCATTATCTTCAAAGACAACTGTGTATGGCAGACTCAAAACATGAAGGCAATCCTATTTCCTTTGCTGTAACCTAAGCACAGGAAAAGCAATGGCAATGGTTGCCATGGTATCAGGTTATGATATGGTAACCCTAGGATGCTCATTACATGATAGACAAACAATTTAAGGTAAAAATTCTGTATTTTTTGTAATTAAGTATTCTCATTATGAAGTAGTAAAATTTGTTTCCCCAAATTTTCTAACACAAAGTTTCTCAGTCTCACAGAAACATACTTTACAGAAATAGAAAACTGACTACCTAGCAGCATTTGTAAATAGTATGATGTTAACTGAACATTCTGATTGTCTAGACAGTGTTTCCCAAAGTGTGGTACGCATACCCCCAGGGGTACGGGAAGAGTTTGGTGGGGGTACGAGTTGCATCGGAGTTTGGGGGGATATGCACTGCACCGTGCTTAGCTGTGCCTAATTCTACGTTCTCATGAGTATGAGGGGTACTCAGCGTTACGAAAATTATAGAAGGGGCACACATATGTCAAAAGTTTGGGAAACACTGGTCTAGAAGATATGGTGCCATTTCCAATATTCCACATTAAGAAACCAATTTAGGAATTCAAAAGCAGTCTTCTCTCTGACATCATACAATAAATAAGATGCACAAGTTATGAGAAAAATACCCCCAAAATGTAGAAATGCTATTAAGTAGATTTATAAATAAGTAGCTTCAATGATTTAAGTCAATGAATAAATGGTTAGCATTCACATTTTAATGGAAATTTTCTGAAAGAAGGATTTGAAAGATAATTACATTTCTTTTTTATGAGAATCATCTGTACTCTGAAGTACAGTTGTAAATAGTAATTATGCTCCTAACCTGAATATCTCACCAAAGGCCTTAAAAGTGTGAAAATCCTAAATTAAGCCTCAATGATAACTCAAGATAAAGAATCCAATGACGTCCACCACTTTAACAAAGATTCTCAACCCTGGCTTCACATTAAAATAAACTTTAAAAAATACTGCTGAGAGCCCACTGTCTAGTGTTTTCAATGAAATTGGCCAGGGGTGCAGTGTGGGCACTGGGAATTATAAAAGGCAATTTTTATGTGAAGCCAAGGGTGAAAAAGCATTGCTTCAGAATCTGTGCAAATGCCATTTCATCTACTCTATCTTATCTCTTTAAAGTGAAAGGTTGTCTTTCCAAATTAACAATGTAAATCATAGTCAAGTAGTGTGTTAAGTAATATCAATGAATCTGGCAGCAGAGTTTTGGCTTTCTAGTGTTATAAGCTGCTCAACTTCCAATCTAAGACCAAGTCTCAGTCTCTGTCGCTCTCTGAATCAATTAGTACTGGAATAAACTTCACTTGATCATAATATCCCTGGTTGTGCTTCACTAGTTTTCCCAATAGCTTTTATCCAATGGACCAGAATATACAAACCCAAAGACATGATATTGGGTGAATTGAGTAATCAAGGATAAAAATTCTTTACATACCATTTTAACATTACTGAACTGATATGCTGCAATAAAAATTGATATTCAACTTCCATATCAGGAACATTAAATTAGCTTTCAATGGACTTTAGGTGATTATGACATATGTCAATGTAGGCTCATCAACTGTAATAAATGTACCAGTCTGGTGGGGAATGTTGAAAGTGGAGGAGGTTATTTATATGCAAGGGGGTATATGCAAACTCTCCGCACCTTCCCTCAATTTTGTTGTGAAACCTAAAACTGCTCTAAAAAATAGTCTTACTAAAAAATCAGATTTCATTTAACTTTTCAATTAGTACAATGATAACAATATGCAGTGATCAGTACTCCGACCTAATAACTTTAGGCTGTATTGTTAGGGTGGGGGGCAAAGTAGGTTTACAGTTGCATGTGAAACACAAAGTTTATTCTTGTAATATTGTTCATTAATTATTGTATTATTTTCCTTATGAACAACTGTAAACCTCCTTTTGCCCTATATTTTTCTCTGGAGAAAAAAAACACACAAAGAATTGCTTACAAAGTAAGGATTTGGAAATTAAAAAGGAGAAAAATTAACATAAAAACAGCTGCTGAGTATTTTTCTCTTTAAATAAGACAAGGAACTACAGTTCATATTACATTGCATTAAAAGACTCTCAACCACCAGTGAAGGAGAATTCCTTTGCTGCTATCTTAGTCTATCATTTCCATCAGGGGAGGCATTGAATGGGAGTCAGTGAGGAGTATGAGTAGCAAGGACAAGCTTTCACTATCCGGGCAACTATCTTCACTGACTGACAAATCAGTATCTGAACCAAGACACTGCCGTGAGAAACAAGCAAGGTCAACTTATAAAGTCACATTATTTAAGAATTTTACTTGCCTGCTCAGCAAACTGTTAAAAGAGCTTATCCCATGAGGAGAAAAGACGCTTCAAGATGTTCAGATACGTGGGGGGAATTGCCAACTATCCTTGTGAGTCACATACCCTGGCACGCTCTTTGAGCTGGGTGTTGACTCTACCATTGCCCAACTTCCTGGGAATAAAGAATCCTGGGCCATTTTCTTCTTAAGATTATTTTTTTGTTTAAAAATATATTTAAATATTTTCTCCATGTAAAATAATTAAAATGTATAATTGTAAATAATAAGGATAGAGAAGATAGAAATGGATTTTAACTCTTCAGTGCCGCTTAAATGTGTAAGAGGTCTTCTGTGCTTCAGTTCTGACAATTAAATAGACTGTCTCTAAGCCAAGCTCAGGAGAATGAGAGCGACAGAAAGAGAAAGTCGATATCTGTTAGTTAAAGTGATATAATCAGAAATTTTACTAAAAAACAGTGAGGCAAACACTGTAAAAATACAGTGAAGTTTGTAGTCAAGTCAATTACACAAAAACTGTGCAGCTCATAGGTTATACAACTCAAGTCTGTGAGACTTGAGTTTTCTGGAGATAGGATGAGTATGACTTTAAACAGCAGATTATTTATGGTAAATGGTCATTTTCCAAATTCAGCAATTCTAATTTAAAGGGAAGTTACTTTTCTAGGAAGTTCAGTTATTCAGAACATTAAATAATTCCTCTGAATATCATATGTGTCACAATGTCTACACATTACAAGTTGTAAGTTCTAATGTATAACTTTAATGAGCAAGACTCAATTCCTCACTCAGAATTTATTTACTAATGGGAATTCCTATCTAGTTCCTCACCCTATGCATATCTAAAGTAATGTTGCTAGCAACAGGCAAGTTAACAACAGGGGAAGGTGACAGACTGGGGACCCAGCCGCGAATCATCAAAAATGAAAAGATTCTGCATTTGGTGGAAAGGTAAGGATCATATTGCATAAGTCCATGGGCATATCTATGACCCTGAGTCACTGACCAGTCACAGGGTCCACACCCTGAAGGGAAGGAGTGTTTAATACATTTTATAAGTATTTCCCATAAAAACAATTTTTATGTTTTAGTGCTTAAAGACTTGGACAAACGAGTAGAACAGAAAAAATATATATAACAATTTTCATTCCTGGATAACAGTAGCCAAATTATATGTTAATCAGAAGTGGGAAAGAAAAAAAATTAATTTTATCTTCCAAAATAAAAAAGCCCTTATGTTGTCAGGGATGTCAATGATGCAGATTAGGAGGTCAAGAACTCCCAATGTTAACTTAATGAAGTTCATATTTCAACTAGAATTTATTTCAAAGGTTTGTTCAAACATGCATACATTTCACTACTGCCATCATCAATCTATCCTACCCATTCATTCCATAGGCATTTATTGAGAGTCTGTTAGAGAAGGCATGTGTCTGTGTTTGTTACAGTGTGTTGGGAAAGAGTGGTAGGTATTTGATACGAAGAAAAGGAAACATTATCTGCAACTTCCAAGAACTTAAAACCCTCTTTCCTGTAAGCACAATACATTACTAAGTTTCTTCCTTCCTTATAAGTTCTTCTTTATTTTGCTTCTTTCTATCCCTCTCTTTATATCCTCTATTTTCATCATTCTTCATTTTCATCACATGACATAAAAATTGTCATTTCTTAAATTCAAGACTTTTAAAATTATGTGACTTTGAGAAATCACCTCACCTTAATAAGGAGCTTCATGTTGCTTTATATGTAAAAAGGGGAAAATAAAAATTTACTGCTTAGAGGCTAAAGATTTTCAATCCTTGAATCTATGGTTTTATAAAGTTGCTGCTATTAATAAATATTAAAATTTACAAATGAGTCCTAATTTTTTATCCCTTATTTTTTTCTTAGCTCTCTGAAAACAGACTGTTATGCTTGTGTTGTGAGAAGATTAATACTCTTTCTGCTTACCAAAAGTCTTAGGGCTATTATATACATGTCTGATTCTCCTGTTTCTATCCATATGCACCAAATCTACCCTCAATACTGTTACTAGGTAAGGAGAACCAAGATGAATGTGACCTATTCCCCCCTGATTAAAACACTTTAATGGTTGGGCATTCCCTATAATCAATATCTAAAATTCATTAGCATAATTCTTACTAATATGGACCATGTGTATTTTTCCAATCTTATTTATAAATATACCACCTTGTACTCTAGAGTTAACAGTAAATTATTTGCAGTCTGTTAATTCATTACATCCATGGTATAGACATTTACTGAGCATAAATTATACATTAGCCACAGTGCTAAGCTTAGGGGAATCCTGAAATAAACATGGTAAATATGGCCTACCTTCATAGAATATATAGCTAAGTTTTAAAAGAGTTTATACTGATGTTTACAGCTCCCTCCTGCCTCCCAAATGCCTGTCGAACACTACTTCCTTTTTAGATGAAACTTCAAGGCTCAACTCTTCCACAAAATCCCATTTGACTACGTGACCACTCCCAGTGCACATTATATACACTGTCCAGCTTACGGTCTTTAGCTCTTTATTATAACAGTTTACTAACTAGACTATCTCCTCACCAAAATGATGTACAAGAATGTCAAACTCTTACTCATCTTTGAAATGAATGAAAGAACATGGAAACAGAGTATGATGACCAAGGCCTAACAGACAGAAATACTTAAATACCTGTCTAGAAATGAAAAACTGAAGAAATTACTTTATTCTTACCAAAAAAAAAATGTTTTCTTTTCCCGTTTCTTCATGTCATTCTCTAGATGTGCCTTAACATCAGAGACCATATGTCACTAAGTAAGTATTTGTTTAATGTATTCTCTAGATCTACAATTCACAAATACTAGACCACAGGAAGGATGTCACAGTACTTGAGAAAACAGAAACCAACACAAATCAGACTGACACGGCCAGAAGAAAACGTATCCATGTTTAGTATAAAATCTATTTTCTCTTGCCGAAGCCGGTTTGGCTCAGTGGTAGAGCGTTGATCTGCAGACTGAAAGGTCCCAGGTTCGATTCCAGTCTAGGGCATGTACGTTGGTTGCGGGAACATCCCCAGTAGGGGGTGTGCAAGAGGTAGCTGGTCGATGTTTCTCTCTCATCGACGTTTCTAGCTCTCTATCTCTCTCCCTTCCTCTCTGTAAAAAATCAATAAAATATATATTTTTTAAAAAATCCATTTTCTCAATGTATAATTTGAGTCCTAAAGTGTAGTCACTGAATATATAGGCAGAAAAAGAATCCCAAAAAATCGTAGAATTGTTCATTATCATAGCAAAGACATTATAGATCTAGGTAACGTTAAAAAAAAATCCAAATTTGGAAAATGCTGTTCGTTCCCAGATAACAATAATGATAAAGTCAAAAATAATAAGAGCAAATATATAATGTTTTCTACTAGTGTTAAGCATTTTTCATGTAGTAACAAATTTAATTCTCATATCAACCCTCTCAGTTAGCCCCATTATATCAATAAGCAAAAATGAGGTATAGACAGGCAAAGTAACTTGCCCAAGATCATTCAGCTAATAAATGGTAGAAATGGAACCCAAGAAGTCTGATTCCAGAGTCTTCGCTATTAACCACAATCCTATTCTGATTCTTTATTATTATACAATATTAAAAGGCCATAAAGACCCTGTAAAAACAAATACCTTCCTAAATATATGTAGTCCTTAACTGCTTTTCAATAATATCTTTTATAATTAAGTTAAAATGCATTACTTATCATGTGAGTCTATGTAAACACACACACACACACACACACACACACACACACACACACACACACACACTGGAAGTTACAGAAGGATGAGGGAGAAAGTCTACTTGTTTTGCAATGCAGAATGAAATATATAAATGCTTCTGGTCATAGTGTAACACTATCCAAAAAGTTCAAGGAATACAAGGATGGAGTTCTGTCTACTGTCATCTCTCAATTAGCTGGATCAACATGAAGATCAACAAACATATCATAAGCAATTAGGTAGGAAACTCCAACTAAAGCATTGGTGCCATGCCAAAGCCTCCTTAGAAAGCACTGAAATGTTCTAAATTTTATGCTAGCCAGCACAGGTCACAGCTTTAGTAGTATCAGTAAAAACTCTTTAAAAGAATTCTTATCTATCACTACTTCATTTCAAAGAATATAGAACAAAGCATGGATTCAAAGTATGACTCTGGAATAATATTCATTTGTAGAAAAATAAGGAGCCAGAAATAGAATTATACCCATTATTAAATAACTAAACATACCATAAAGAGCCTTTGCACTTGTTTTTGAACTTTGTTCTCTGTCCATCTGGGAAAAGGTGGGTGGTGATCCGTAGCCACTATAATTAAAAAAATGGTCATTGTGCTGGGTTAAAGTCCAAAGTTAGTCATAAAAATTCAAAACTGTCAATAAAAATTCCAATGCACCATCATCACCATGTGCTTTAAACAAACATACTGAACTTATGCTAACTAGATTTGCCAAAATGAGGCGGATCCTGTTCTGCTAAATGGTCAGGAAATAGAAACTGGTGCAAATCACACCTCCTCTCAAATGCCAAAGTGAAACTGTAGCCAAGAAAGTTCACCAAGGTTGAAAGTTCTTAGAAGAGTTTAAGTTTGCCATACTAAGCAGTAATCCAGTTATAAAAAGCTCTCAATGATTCCAGCTGTAATGGAATATTCCCTATTTTCACAAATACTTAAATGCAATTAACCAAAATAACATTTTATCATTAAATTTGATCAGCTTTATCTTAAAACTAGCCTCCTCTTCTTCCTCCTCCTCCTAATACATTATATCAAGCTAACATAATATATTTAAATTGCTTTTTTCTATTTATTCAGTAAACATTTATTAAGTCCTAAACTAGAAGAATAAGTGATATAGGGGTTAGGGGAACAGGGTACTGTTAGTGAAACAAGTAAAATAATTATTATAGAATGTAATATCTGGGTAAAACTAGTATCTAACACATGTAGGATTATAGAAAGGCTAACATTTTTATCAGGATGCCCAAGAATTTACAGCCAAGTTGACAGTGAAGCAGAGTCTAAACAAATGGGAAGAAGCTCTTCATACAAGTGGAGATTGAGTGAGGAAAAGGCGCCTGGACACGGCTTCAAGAACAAGCATGGTGTCTGAGGGAAAATGCATCTAATATGATGTCCCTCGTCAGACAATGGCTCAAGGAGTAGAGAAGGCAAATAGATGGCTTAATAATTAAATTTTATTTCTAGGTATAGTAAATATGTTTACACAAGGAAGTGACATGATCCAATTTTTTTAAGACAATTCAGAAACTAATGGCAAGGGGATGGGATAGAAAGGTGCTATAAAAATTCAGATAGAGGAGATAATGGCCATAAACAGGGCTAAAATAGAAGAAAGGGATAGAATAGAATTTAATAGAATAAATTATTATAAATTCATGATTAAGTGGATATTTGTTGTAAAAAAAACAGAAGGAAAAAAAACACCCAAGAGTGTGGCCAAGCTTTCCCTGATGTACAAGAAAAATTGGTAGCTGACATAAGGGGTGTTTCTTACTGGTCAAAAGTAAAGAGATTTGCAATAATCTTTGTAGAAAGAAAGAAAGAAGCATAACTCTTTACAATGTGAATAATCTGGTTTTTAAAAATGATGAGCAAACTATATACCACAATGGCCAATATAAAATAATAATATTAATCACAATATGTAAGGCAATGCCACTTAAGTCAGAGTGGTGATCTCAAGTTGTACCTGGAGCCACAAGGATTGTTTTGTGTGTCTGATCTATTTTTTTTTTTTTACACAATGGTTAATATCTTTGTAGACTGGATTAGATGACATTTAAATCTCCTCAAATGCCAATATCTTAGAAGAACATTAATAAATTTCTCCAGAGAAACCGAAAGCTCTGAAGTAGAGTCTACACTCAGCTATAGGAGTACATACCAGAACAAAAACATCTTATATTAAATCAGTACCCTTGGAGTTGATATTACATAAGCATCTTTTCTTATCAGAAACAGCAAACATATGTTAGTGTCACAAAAACATTATATGTTAAGAAGGAATGAACTACATAAAGAAATAAAACTAATATTTTCATTAAAAAGATAAAAACAAATCAAATTTAAACAACAAATTAAATATAAACCTTCCAACTTACTTCATTTGAGATCCATACATTCCAAAACCGCTGGGATGATTAGAAATATGACCATTCATCGTGGCTTTCAATCATGTGTTCTACCAAATGCAAGGTACAAAGACTGAAGGCAATAAAAGGATCATGACACCTCAGTTTCAAAGTTAACCATTTAACAAATATCTGTCATTGCCAGGGTGATGCTGGAAATATAAACACAAATATCTCCACTCTCAAGGAGCTCAGGCACAAGAAGTACGAATGGACATATAAACAGAGATCCAATTAACATTTAACATTAATATACTAAAATTGTTAGTAAATTTAGGCCAGGGAAAAAAAAATCACACTCATAATCAACTGTCAGCTTCATAAGTTGTACCATTTATTGTTTTAGTATAAACTAGTATAGGTTACTTCAATTTAAAAACTTGAGAAATATAGAAAAGAATAAAATACATAAAAGTGCAAAGTGGAAAAAATATCTTCCTGAGTCCTATCATATAAAGATAATCATTTCACAATCCCATCAATTTCCTTCAACTCTTTTTCCCTGAATCTAATTTTCTTTTCTTCATCTCTCCCTCCTCCTCTTCCTTCCTCCATAGTGTATTGGACAATATCTCATACATACACACTTGAATACATGTTTTTTTTACAAGATGTCTTCATTTAAACATTTCTTTTACTTTTCACAAGAAAACAATTTTAAAAATTAGTACCAGGTTATTTAACTTCAGAAATAATTTTTTAACCTGTTTCACAAATTGAACACATTTTCTTCAAACAAGATGAATAAGTAAAACTTTCTTACTGCCAAATCCAATGGCCTTGACTTTTTTTCTCTGAGACAATCCCGCTACACCTGATTTATTTCAATTCACTCCTGGATACTTGGTATTGCCTGGGTTCTGTGGCACTAAACCATTTTGGACATTGTCTTATTTTCCTGACTTTCATATATAGAGTAGGACAAAGTAGGTTTATAGTGTGAGTACACAAAACACAAAGTTTATTCTTGTATTATTATTTAATAATTACTGTATTATTTTTCCATATGACTAACTATAAACCTACTTTTGCCACATCCTATTACTATGTCTTCTTATAAAGGAGAGGTAGGTAGGACATATCACAGTTTTTTTTTATAAGATACTGGCAAAGGGAGGAGGAGCATTAACAACTACCTAGTGACCACTGTGTGTCAGGTACTAGCAAGGTAAACAGAACAGACATAATCCCACCTTTGGGCCAATGGTCTAGTGGAAAAAACAGATACTTCATGAATAAATATAAAATTTAAAATGCTGTTATCTTTAAAAGGGAAAATTCAGAATGATATATAGACCATATGATTAGGGAACTTGATTCAGATTGGGAAGGCATGAAAAGTCTACAGGTGAGAAGAGATTAACAGAGGAATTTATATGCACACTAGAGGCCCAATGCACTAAATTGGTGCAAGAGTAGGCCTCCCTCTCGCAGCTACTGGCACCAGCTTCCCTCTGGCACCCAGGGCCCCGGCTTCCCTTGCACCCCAGGCTTTGTCCAGAAGGTCTTCCAGTCTAATTAGCATATACATTTTTATTATTATAGATATGTATAACCCATGGACAATAGTGTGGTGAAGGCCTGGGGTGAGGGTGGGTTGGACTAGAAAGGGGTCAATGGGGGGAGGGGGAGGCAATATCTTTCAACAAAGTAAAGATAAACTTTTAAAATATTAGTATAAATTTTGAATATTTGTATTCATATATTTTAAAAACCGAATAACTTCAAATTAATTCATTCTCATTCTTCAGATGCCAGTTCAGTGTCCTCAGGGAAGCTTTTACTGACCTCCATGAATAGATGAAAATCCACCATTAGTCACTCTCTACACTATAAACAAGTTTGCCAAGTACTTACCATAATGATATTTTTCATTTGTTTAAATTAATTTCTGACTCTCCACTAGAATATAAGCTTCATAAAGGCATAGACTTTTGTTTGATAACTAATGTTTCCTAAGAAGTAAAGATAGCAGCAGGCATAAAATAGGTGTTCATTAAATAATTATTCAAAGAAAGAAAGAAGAAAGGAAAATCTATGTCTCACTCTTCAGAATTCATTATATACTAAGGAGATACATTAATCCATATGAAAAACACAATAAATAAGTCTCCATGTTATGTGGCTCTATTTGAAACTCACTAGAGGTTCAAAAGGAAAAGTCAAACTAAATGCATAATTTTTTCGAGAGCTTGAACTTGCGTTAGATCTTAAAAACTGGTTAGGATTCAGTTCAAGTTCTCCTAATAGTCTTGCCCATATTTATATGCAGCATAGAAGCAAATTTCTAAATTAAGGAACAAAGAAATATTCACCTCTATTCTAGATAAATACTGCATTTATAAAATTATATTATATTTATATTAAATTGATCTATTCTGTTTTTGTTATTTGTTTTCCTTCAACTTATACTTCGATATAGTGCTAGGTAAACCATTTCTCAGGAGGAAAAATGAAACCCTGATTTGTAGTGCTTGCTAATTTCCATGGAATTAATATTCACATGTGGCCCATTTCAAGCTATTTAACAGCAGCTTACAAAACTAATGTTTTACAATTGTATCTCATAAGCCTAGCAAGTCCAGGTAGAGCAGATTATTCCAGAACTCTGGCCAGGACAGAGGACAGGAATAACACTATGAATTTAGAACTATTGTTTAAGACACAGGCATTCACAAGTTGAAAGGCTAAAACTCTGACACTATCTCTGGCACAGAATAGCCTACGCAAGTCAATTAAACCTCTGTACTAATTTTCTCATCAGTAAAATAGAGATAATTCCTGGTCTTCCTAGTTCACAGGACTAGTGAAACATCAAATGAGACAGATGCATATGTAAATTTAACTTCCAAAGTTAAAAGTAAGAAATACTCTTTCAAAATAAGCTGGTTCATTCAGAATTAAATCCCCAGGGTTTGTACTGATTTTGATCTGGTCTGCATTTTAAAACCACAGCGGCTGGCTTTAATGAAAAGTGATAGCCACAGTATCTCATCTTTTTCATGTTTAATTCTTCATGACAGTCAAATAATACATGGTTTGTGTTTTGTTTTGTTTTGTTTTTTTAAATAGCGGTATGTCAGAATAAGAGAGCATTAGAAAAGGGAGCAGAAAATGTTGATTTGCTAACCTGAATTTTAAAACAGAAACTTTTGTCATTTAGCTATCATAGTTTCACCTGTCACAATGTTCATGTAGCAATATAGAAGTTTTCAAATATTTAAATACAGCAATTATAACACACACCTTGCAAAGAAAACAATTACAAATGTCTGTTTACCTTTAGGCCTTAAGAAGACATTTAATTTATACCTTGAATCAACTCTTACTGAAAAGTAAGGTGTTTTAATTTTTATTAGCTGATAAGACAACTTAAAAGCCAAGGAAGACAAAGTTTTTCTTTATCATGGCAAGTTTAGGGACTCTACACAGTTAACTACTAAATTATCTACTTAATTCAACTAAAAGTGTATACCAAACCTGTCATAACTTCTAAAAGATTTGAAATAGAGCATCGATTTCCTTATGAAAACACCTTTTATAAGTTATAGTTATTATAATTTTCCTCTTCTACAGAAAATAATATTATTTGGCAATTACAAAGATTAAAAAAAACAATATAAGACCTAAGTTAAGCACACAAAAATGTTAAACACTGAAGTTTTGAAAGGAAAGTAAATAGAATGAATAAAAATCACTGAAGAAATAAACGAGGCTATAGTAAGCTAAGCAAGTTAAATCTGTATTAGAAAGTTTTAAGATAGCTAGATGATAGCTAGATAGGTAGATAGATAGATAGATAGATAGATAGATAGATAGATAGATAGATAGATGATAGCTAGATAGAATTTAGACTCACCTTTCTTCACTTCTGCTTACATCTGATATCAATTTTCAAACTGATGAGTGTGTAGTCGTGACTCGATGTTAGAACACCAGCTGCCCAATCTGGCTAACACACAACTAGTAGCTCTTTGTACATTAAGCTGTCCTTAAAAATAATTTGTTCTCTGAGAAAATGTCACAGACATTTTTATTTACTTAAGGTTTTGTTTACTTGTTTGTTTGGCTTTGACAAAGTATATTGAAGTATCTATACTTCAATTTCAATTTAATGTATGTTTCTTGATCTAAGTTAAAACAAGATGGGAGTGATTATCATTATATGAGACTTTAACTAAAAGACCATTGAGATTAATTTTTTAAACAATACGCTGTGACATCGTCTACTAATGATTGTGCTATTGGTTCTGAAGGCTAGAAATTCAAAACCTAAAAACACTAACAATCTGCCTTAAACCTTCTGAATCATTACATAGTGTCTCCTACAGGGTCTTCTAGAATGACTACTTTTCAATAACTCTTACCAATACTGTCGGTAGAGATGTCACCATCTATTTCCCTCTGTCATTTGACCTAACATTTAGAAATAAAGTACTTTTATATATGAACAGACTTGGAAAACTAATAAAAACAAACTGTTATAATAGTAATAATAATAATAATAAATGTTAATAGTGGCTAACACTTGTGAAGGTATTGCAATAATTTCTAGGCCATATAGAAATCATATTTTCTCAAGGCCAATATAAATGTAGAGAACAATTTTATATATTTAAACCAATACACTGTAATCACTTAAAAATAATTATCTCAGTTCTCCTTTTTTATAATTATGAGAAAATTCTTAGGTTGTTTGTAAGTTGGAACATAATTTGGCGGAGAATCTATGTTCAAACCAGAATGTTGGTTTAACAACTAGCTGAAGAAGAATACTCATTATTAAAATTCAATAACCAACTAAAAAGAAACACTTTCGCACTAATTATATGTTCAATATTGTGACAGAGTTTATACAAAGGCCTAACACAGAGGAGAGCCAAATATACCCTATTACTACTGCTTCAGTATTCCCTTCTAATTCTTGTTGCTATGATGACATCATCAGCACACATACACTGCTTGGATGTTATACATAGAAAATGACTACTACCTCAGTTCAAAACATTGTTAATGTCATGCTGATTTG